AGGAAACGAAGAAATATAACACTTACTCTAAATGGTGTGGAACTGAGCCGTGTACAGAAGTACAAGTATCTGGGCATGTATGTTGGATACACATGTGAGAGTAAAAATGCTGAAATAAATCATATCAGCACCTTATGTAAAGCCCGTCTGCATCCTCTAAAAGCACTGGCTTTTTCTGGTAAAGGTGTTGGGGTACCTATCTTGCGGATGTTATACATAAGCACTGTTCGATCCCTGATAGACTACGCAGCACCCGTATTGTCTTACACAGGCCAAGGCAGAATTCAAAAAATAGAGCTGATACAGAACGAGGCTATGAGGATTATTCTTGGATGTCAAAGAAATGCAATGATTGAAATAATGAGAATGGAATTAAATTTACAGAGTGTGTGTGATAGAGTCCGTGACATTAACACTAGAGTATCTATTCGTTTCATGCGGAGAAAAGGAGGGGATAAGCTGTTTGAGAGCGTTCAGACCTGCTTGAGTGACGTACACACTTCCAGGAAACTGAGGGAGACTCGCTATACGAGAGGATTAGCTCATGACCTCAGGGAATACGACGTACTTGACTGCTGTAAACCCTCTCGAAAGTGTAATATGTCTGCTCCCTGGAAAGTACAGAAAATAGACGTCGAAATTGTACCCCTCAAGGTGAAAAAGATTCATCATGAACCGGGACAATTACGGTGTTTGTATGGAAGCATGATATCTCGGTTACCAAGAGGCAACAGTTTACATGTATATTGCGACGGGTCGGTGGCGGAGGATGGCAGGGCAGGGTGTGGTGTCCTAATAAGGGATTATACGGAGTTTGGGACTGTGGACAGGATAATTGAACTCCGGCTTAGTAATTATATATCATCCACACAAGCTGAACTGCAGGCCATTCTGGCGTGTTTGGAGGAAGTACGTCATGACGACAAAAATGTTTTTGTATTTGTCGATAGCCGAGGAGCACTGGAGTCCTTAAACAGTAGAAACCCAGTCTTCATGTCTATAGTGGAGGACTGTAAGAGAAGAATAACTGAGATACAGCTGAAAGGTTATAGTGTGAAATTCATGTGGATTCCATCTCATGTTGGAATAGTGCTCAACGAGGTGGCGGATGACTTGGCCAAACGTGCCACATCAAAACCACAAGTTGACATTGAATGTGAATTCACAATGAGACAAATAAGAAGCAAAATCAGAAATATTCAGGCACAGGCGGGAGTGGAGAGGAGAGAGATAATGTATGAGAGTAGTCAAACCATGCAACACTACATGTATGTGAGTCAAAACACCCATTTCACTTATGGTAAAATGAGAAATGCTTGGAGTGACTCTGTGTACATGCGGCTCAGGCTTGGGTACAAATATTACTGGGAATATGGGATAGATGTTCATGGTAATGACACGAAGTGTAAACTATGTGGCATGTTAAGGTCTCACACCCTTGCCCATTATATTCTTGATTGTCCGTTGATTAGTGTATATAGAAACACTGAGATAAGGACTGTTCCTGAACAAATAGCCTGGATGTGTCACAACGGAAAGGTTGATGATATTCTTGAGAGATATAAGAATTTTGCACCAAGATTGTAATATTTTGTTGAATTATCTGCAGGTGTCTTGCAAATCGTCTATACAGTATACCTAGGTCATAAAAGTATTTGTGTGTACGTCTGATACCATACTCCTTGTGAGGGAGGAAATGTATATTTTTACCTCTCAGAATGTTTGGTAATATGTTTATTTGTGATGTGTGTCTATGTATGTATTAACACGTTGTACTGAACGGGGTGAGAATAGCTTGAGCTACCTCATCCCTTTGTGTGTATTTTACCTCAATAAACTTATTTCAATTTCAATTTCACTTCACTGCCGATTCTATTGCAAATGTTGTTCTGTTGTACCTGTTGTTCTGTTGCAACAGTTACAATAAAATGTTCTATTTGGTTTGTGAATTAGATCCTGGTTTAGAACTATGAATTTAGTTCTATAATTAGTTCTATAATTTATTTAGTTCTATAATTAGAACTATGGTATTTGTGCTTGGGGCTCTACTACCCAAAATCATTTACGTCCTCTAATTACTCAACACAAAGCTGCTATTAGGACAATATCCAATTCTGGCCCCAGACATCACTCGGTACCCCTATTCAAATCCCTGAATATGTTAGACATTAAGTCACTGCACATTCTCTCATGTGTACTATACATATACAAAACGCTAAATTGTAATGCTAATCCTGATCTCAAAAGCTTCATAGAAGGTTGTAACAGAACCCATGAGCATCACACCAGAAATAAATACAGTTTTGATATTCCTAGAGTACGACTTAATCAAACCAGAAATGCTCTACAAATCAAGGGGCCCAGAATGTGGAATGACCTTCCCAACCATGTTAAAGACAGTACCTCTCTCAACCAGTTTAAGATAAAAACTAAACACTACCTAATAAATTCCCTGTAACCTACCTCACTCCTCTATTGTCAACCCATGTCTGTTATTTTCTTTTTTTTTAATCAACACTGTCAACCTATTGTATTTGTGCTGCTTTTTCAGTCATGTTCCCCCTTTTTTTATCTTTATTTGTATTTGTTCTCAACACTTTTTATTCTTTATGCTCAATTAGTATTAAGTTCTAGATATTAATGTTTTTCTTGCCCGAAACGCATTGCGTAATAGTGGCTTTAGGCATTGTATGTACTAGCTCTATCTATATATCAATCCATTAATGTAACATCACTTGTATGTATATACCTTACCTGAATAAACATCTGAATCTGAATCTGAATCTGAATCAGATTTTGAAATTAACAACTTCAAACATTCAAGCTGGGGATCATTATTCAACCCGTCCTCGACTCGTCAAAAATTCAAATTAAAAAATTCAAATGTTTATTCAGGTAAAGTACATACATACAAAAGGTGATACAAAAATTGATAGATTTATAGATAGAGCTAGTACATACAATGCCTAAAGCCACTATTACGCAAAGCGTTTCGGGCAAACGCAAAACGCAAAGCGTTTCGGGCTGTCAACTAATGTTTCAACCCATGATATAAACCAATATTCTGCAGTGCATCCTGTTAAAGGTTAGCACTTAGGAAAAATCTTAGTACTTCTTAGTAAATTATAATAAACACTCATAAATTATTACTTATAATTATTACTTATGCAGTCTCCGTGGTGTAGTGGTAAGACACTCGCCTGGCGTTCCGCGAGCGCTATGTCATGGGTTCGTATCCTGGCCGGGGAGGATTTACTGGGCGCAATTCCTTAACTGTAGCCTCTGTTTAACGCAACAGTAAAATGTGTACTTGGATGAAAAAACGATTCTTCGCGGCAGGGGATCGTATTCCAGGGACCATAGGATTAAGGACTTGCCCGAAACGCTACGCGTACTAGTGGCTGTACAAGAATGTAACAACTCTTGTATATATCTAAAAAAAAAAAAAAAAAAAAAAAAAAAAAAAAAAAAACTTATAATAATGACGCTTTCGCTAAACAACATTATATACAATAGTGTATGCTTTAAAATCTTAGAAAATGGATTGTAGGGATGTCAATAGAAAACGATGTGATGTTTGAATGACTATGGGGTACACTACTGCAAACAGGATGGATATAGAGGCCACAAGAAGTTTATTTATTTATTCATTTATATATATACAAGAAGTTACATTGGGTTTATGAGAGTATATAGCCTGATGTGTTTACATTCTTGTAAAGCCATTACATCCAGCGGTCGACACCACAGACGCATTCGTAAATTTTTACGTGCTGTTCATTCACAACGGAAATTTTCTCAAATATAAATTAATATTATAATATATTAGCATATTATGCATATATTCGCACAGGTTAGGTTCGGTGTTTAGGTTCTGTTGGCGATTATTTGTTTTTGTAGTACGTGGGTGAAGCATTTACAGTGTTGAGGTTCAAACACAATTTTTCAGTGAATCACTTGTTCCAGAAGTGTTCGAACGTCAACAGTTGCGAGTCGTGTCAGCTCGTCCTCCAATCAAAGACCCAAAAGTGATTCCAAGCACCCGCCTGGAATCGGCATGTGCATGGAATGGACTTTGATCTTTGTTTGGAGACGGGCTGTGGAAGGTGGTAAATGATCATCGGAGATACATGAGGATTACTTGTCGCCACAAATAGAAGTGCAGAACGGGAGTTAATGGAACTGTCGAGGTTTAAGTTTGAAAATTTGCTGAACAGAGGAAAGGCAGAGGTGTGGGGACGAAAAGTGTCGCAACGCACGATACTTAAAAAAAAAAAAAAAAAAAAAGGTAACTATTAGAACGCATAAAGCCGTTATGACTATTGAGGGAATGTGTGTGCAAGGATTTATGATAATGATGCCTGACCACTTAGACGAAGATTTAACGCCAACCTGCAAGGAGACACCATCGCTGTACCTTCCAGTCCAATGTTAGTGTTAAATGTTAAAGACAGCTGACGTGGCACAAACACTCGGGGTAAAAATGTCTTCTCTCCTGAGAAGAGACCGCAAGTGCGCCAGTCAGAGGAAGAGGACGCGAGACCCTCACCATTTGGCCCTTCTTATGGGTTTGCCGTATGAAAATTCAACAACGGTCCTTAACACGAGGGCTGGGGTTGGAGGAAAAAAATATTGATGTAAAAATTAATCTTACACACCTGAGTGCATTACCACGGTCCGATAATATTTGTCCATTTGAGGTATTACGCTATTGCTATTTGTGTATTGAATTAAGGGCAGAGGTAGAACACCTTGACAACCCGGATGCATGCGGGAATTGTGTAAAATCCCAGTTTTTCCCAGAGGCTGCGGGATCCCTATGAGTGCAGTAGCACTCCATGTTGCAATTCTTTTGACCATGCCGTTGCCCAACCGACTATGGCGCATCTGGGATCATCCCAGACGTTAGGTTTGAACCCTCATCACGGCCCTTGTGGATTTGTTCATTTTTTTTTTATCAGAGTCCCTTACTCTCTTCAGATTGGAAAAACAAAAGGCAGTTGTACACAATGTTTATTCTGGCATCCAAAAAGTCTTTAATTATTTACATAAAATTTTCTCTATCATCCATATCCATAATTTATTTATTTATTGCAATACAGTATTATAAATTTTTCATTAGAGCCTATTTCAATTTCTGGCACTTCATTACACCAAACTAAGAATAAACTTGGTTCTTTTCATACATAAATAGAGTACACTTACATTCTAAAGCATTCATACCAAACAAAAAAAAAAAAATAATAGAATTCAATATATCTTAAGAAAATATTGAAATTGCACAGGTTCCTCTGGTACAGTTGATTGTACACAAGCCCGAGGACTCAAGATGCAGGTTCAATCCAATTGTATGACTATTTTCTGTTAAACTGTACTGTAATCATTATGAATGGCCATATTGCTTGTAATATAAAAAACAAATTTAAACATTGTCTTTATATAAAGGTTTTATGAACAAATCCACAAGGGCCGTGACGAGGGTAGTGGATGTGTTCATTTGATGCATCGACGCTATTGTGATGCATCGACGCTATTCTGTGTGTAAAGGTTTTATATAAATGATCTATATTAGGACAGCTGCATGTACATAAAACCACTTAGAAGTATTCCACACACATTCCCATTCAAATGATTCTTACATACATATACATACCAAGAATAATTCAATATGTAACACCCAATGCTCTTCCACATCAACATCTGGAACACCAAAAAAGTTGCAGAAAGGATACTGTAGGAACTGTAATGGCCATCAATAAGTCTCAAATGCCTAAACCATTGACGACTTCAAATTAACATTATTAGATTAAAATAAATAATTTAAATTACCATTTATGATTGTGTGAAAACCATGCAAAACTAACAATTTTCATTTTTTTTTAAACACTGGGATAGTATTGCATGAATTAAATAAGGTACCCCTTATTATCCTGCAAAATTTAATTGCATTAATATTATACAATCGGTATCTCGAATGCCCTACTGTATACATAACAGAAATTGGTATACAGGTATATATATTATCCTCAATATCCTTCCAGCACCATAAAGGTTAAGACATACCTCGGCTACGTCAGTAGTAACCACTATGAAATGCCTTCAGTAAACAAAAATTAGTTACAAAATGTATTTAAACAGATATGAAGTTTTTCCTCCCGGGACTAACAATGACTTGCTCAGATTTCATAATTATGGCCAATTATCAAGATATTTAATAACACACGAGACTTCATGGACGGCACAATCCCATGATGTCTAAAAAGCTTTGCGTTATGCATTTGACAAACTCTCCACTTGTAGCGAATTAAATTATTAGTAAATTTATGGGGGCAAATTATTCTATAATTTCCATGATAGACAGATGCACTATTCCACATCTATACTACAGTGAATTGTTTGGCATTTTCTTTAAGTTGGTTTCATTAATCCATCTTAACCACCCCATCCTCTCACCTAATACTACTGTACATAGCAGTTTTAACAGAATTGATCTGTTAAAAAAAGAGAGGCATTAGTAAAAATTAAAGTAACGTAATAGTAACACTTTTTAAGCCTTGGTCTTGATAGGTTAGGTGGGTTGCTTAGGTTCTGAAGATTCAGGTTAGGTAAATTTAAAGAAAATAACCGACGCTATGGATCTTCAATAATTCCTTCGGCACAACAACGATTAGCTTGCTCCGAACTTCAATTTGTCAATTTATTTATCTTGGCAAATGAAAGAAATATGCAAGAAATTAAAATTCCTTGAGTTTGAGAAAAAACAACAAAACCTTCCTAAACTACATCCTTAATAAATTACACAGTGGGTGTAATTTTTAAGAATTCACACAAATCTCAACCCAGTTTCAATGGGGTGTAGAAAAAGCAGCTGTACTAATGTGCTCTAATATGATGCGAACTATTTTACATTAGCTTGTGTGTGCATGTTCATTACTTTCATATTCTATAATAACAGGCTCCCTGGGGAACAACAAGTATACTGAACATTGCAGATTAGAGGTTTTGCTTTATACGGACTGAAAATCAATCTCACTGCCAAGATAACAGCAATAATGACTGGTTCGTTCTTCGATGCCTAGGAGGAAAATCTTTCAAATGTCAATCTTATAATGTATTTAACATTAAAAATATATAATTCCTGTGTAGCCAAGGACTTTAAAAATGCTGGGAAATATACATCATTTTAATCTGAGAGATGATCATCCAATTGTACTGAGAGCAGATACATAATCCACAACCAGAGTAAGACTCTGATCTACTTTTCTTCTTCGGAATCGGTCTCTGCTGCTGCAGATTTTGAGCGACTACGTGATTTTCTCTTCTCTGGGGTAGGGCTATGGGAACGAGACCTGCAAAGAACAGAAAAATAAGAAACTGCAGGAAGTGTATTGGCTCATATAGAGGTAACTTAAATTTATATCCACCAGAGCTCATTCTACATCTTTTACCCAGTAATTTGCTCCATAAATCAACTCTTGCTTCCAAATCTGTACTTACTCAGGGTTTTTTCCAATTCTAAACTTGCCCAATTTATGGAACAAATCATTGGTTAACAATAGAAGTAAGTAAGTAATTATCAAAAGAAGGCACCAAACCGGGAAGGCTATGTAGCACCATCAAATACGCAAAATAATCAGAGGGCGCTAAATATCACCAAGGATGCCAATACGAGAACAAAAACGCATAAGGCGAACGATATCAAAAGTATCCGAGTCACCAAGAATTCTATCGAGGGACAGGTGACCGCGAGGGGCGGTCGGAAAGCAAGACACACGCTCGTCCTGGAAGTCAGGACATTCAAGAAGGACATGCACGACCGTAAGAGGGACAATGCAACTAGGACAATAAGGAGCAGGGCGGCGCTCCATCAAGTGACCATGGGTTAAGCGAGTATGGCCAATACGCAACCTCGCTAGAGCTGTTTCCCACCGCCGGTTACGGTGGAAGGAGGACGGCCACGAGGAAACACAACATTTAAGAGTACGGAGCTTGTTACCAGTAACAGACAACCAAGAAGCCTGCCAACGGGTAAGGACTGAGGAATGGATAACCGGGTAAAAGTCGGAATACGGAATGCCTTTACGAGAGATGGGACAAGAGCGGACAGCTTCCTTAGCGGCAGCATCCGCACGCTCATTTAAAGACACGCCAATATGGCTGGGAACCCAACAAAACTCAACCGACTTAAATTTACTGTGAACGAGAAACAGCCAACGCTGGATCTCGACAACTACCGGATGAACTGGATTAAAGCACCCGAGAGCCATGAGGGCACTACGAGAGTCAACAACAACCACAAAGGAAGACTGACAACGAGAAAGCAGGAGACGAAGAGCATAGAGAATAGCATAAAGTTCCGCTGTAAAGATGCTAGTCTCCGGAGGCAAGCGACACATATAAGTGCGATCAGGAAAAACAACAGAGTAGCCAACACCGTCCGCTGACTTAGACCCATCGGTGAAGACAGAAACGGAGCGGGAGTGAGAAGAAAAGTGCTCGAGGAAAAGGCGTTTTAGAACTGTAGGAGGGGTAAAAGCTTTAGTGATACGAGTCAAGGACGTACAAAACCGCGGAAGAGGGACCCTCCACGGGGGCAAAGAAGGAACAACACGAGGAGAAACATCAGAAATACGAACGGAAAGAGAATCCTGCAGGCGAGATAACCGGACAGAAAGAGGGAGGTGGTGAAGAGGAACAGGAACCGCAGGAGGGGTAAAAGTTAAAGCACGACAGAGACGAGAGGAAGGATGTTGCAAGGACCGCGCAAGATAGCGAAGACAGTAGCGATCACGGCGGTCCTGGAGAGACAGGAAGCCAGTGTCAACATACAAGCTAAGGACGGGAGTCGAACGAAAGGCACCAGAACTGAGGCGCAACCCAGTATGGTGCAAAGCATCAAGACGGCGAAGAGTAGAAGGAGAAGCAGACGAGTAAGCAGGGCAACCATAATCGAGCTTAGACAGGACGAGAGAGGAATGTAAAGCAAGGAGAGTGCGCCTATCTGCCCCCCAAGAAGTATGGGACAAGACCCGAAGGAGGGTAAGGGACTTAGAGCACTCAACACGGAGGTAAGAGATATGGGGAGACCAAGACAAACGAGTGTCAAGGAATAACCCCAAAAGCTTCGCGGAATCTTTGTATTCAAGGGGATGACCATAAAGTGACAAAGAGGGACGAAGAACAACCCGTTTCCGCGTAAAAGTCATGGCACAAGTCTTAGAAGTAGAGAACTTGAAGCCATGACCTGTGGCCCAAGACGACACGGCATCAATCGCAAGTTGAAGCCGGCGTTGAAGGAGAGGCGAATCATCACCCTGACAACAAAGGGTAAGATCATCGACATAGAGAGCGGAGAAGACACCAGAAGGAAGAGAGGAAAGAAGACCATTGAGGGCAACCAGAAAAAGAGTAGTGCTCAGAACACTACCCTGGGGCACACCTTCGTATTGCTGAAAAGGGGGAGAGAGAGCGGTACCAAGGCGCACCCGAAAGGAACGACGAGAGAGGAAGCTGCGGAGAAAGAGAGGGAGATGACCACGAAGGCCAAAAGAATGAAGTTGAGATAGGATATGATAACGCCAAGTGGTGTCGTAAGCCTTTTCTAGGTCAAAAAGGACGGCAACAACGGAGGTCTTCGCAGCAAAAGCAGTACGTATATAGACCTCCAAGTTCACCAGGACATCTGTCGCGCTGCGGCACTTGCGGAAACCAAATTGAGAAGGGGAGAGGAGGTGATGGTGTTCCAGGAACCACATCAGACGAACGTTAACCATACGTTCAAAGAGTTTGCAGACACAACTTGTGAGAGCAATAGGGCGAAAGTCCTTAGGGGAAGTACCCAGAGACCCTGGTTTGCGAACAGGGAGGACAACGGCATCGAGCCAGTCCTCAGGGACTGACGACGACTCCCAGATCCGATTATACAGACTCAGTAAATACTGAGACGTGCTCGGAGGGAGATGGCGAAGCATCTCATAATGAATACCATCGGAGCCCGCCGCCGTAGAACCGCAGAGGGCCAGGGCAGAACGAAGTTCAGAGAGAGAGAAGGGATCATTATAGGGAAGCTGAAGATGAGTGCAGAAATCTAAAGGACGAGACTCAAGGACAGGTTTACGAAGAAGGAAAGATTGGGGAAGATGAAGACCAGAGCTAACAGAAGAAAAGTGGGAACCCAGTTCGGAAGCGACCTGCAACGGGTCCGCCACAAGAGTATCATGGAGGTGAAGGACCGGTGAAACATCGGGAACGAACTTACCCGCTATCTTGCGGATACGCTTCCAGATCTGGGCCAGAGGGGTTTCGGACGTAATTGTCGAGACATAAGATGCCCAACATTCACGTTTAGCCGTACGGATGGCCCTACGGGCCACCGCACTCGCTTTCCGAAAGAAAAGAAAAGAATCGGTCGTCTGCCTACGGCGGTGCTTCTTCCAGGCTGCACGCTTACAGCGGACAGCCCGAGCACAGTCCGCATTCCACCAGGGAACGCACTTCCGTGGACCCCGAGAGGAAGAGCGAGGAATAGAGCGGAGGGCAGCGTCGAAGACAGTGTCATGAAAAAGGAGGAGAGCGCGAGAGAGGGGCAGAAGGGAGAGGTCAGAGAGAGTAGCACTGAGGGAAAACAGGGTCCAGTCCGCCTTAGCAAACTGCCACCTAGGGAAAGAGAGGGAAGGGCGAAAAGAGAAAAAGGAAACAAGGATGGGGAAATGATCACTTCCATGGAGGTCATCAAGAACCTGCCATGTGAAATCTAAGTAAAGAGAAGAAGAGCAGAGAGAAAGATCAAGACAAGAAAGGGTGCGAGTTCGAGAGTCCAAATGAGTGGGCTCACCAGAATTCAGAAGAGACAGGGAAGAAGAGAGGAGAAACGGCTCAAGGAGGCGACCCCGGGTATTCGTCAGAACGTCACCCCAAAGAGAATGACGACAATTGAAGTCACCCAGCAGGAGCACAGGCTCCGGCAAGGAGTCTAGGAGGTGTTTCAAATCAGGAAGAGAGAGCGGGACACCCGGGGGGAGATAAATGGAACAAACAGTGTACCATTTCCCCACAAAGATACGAGCAGCAGAACAATGGAGAGGCGAAGGAAAAAGTAAAGGAACAAAGGGAACATCAGCCCGAATCAAGAGAGCAGAAGAATTAGAAGCCCCAGCAATGGCTGGGGGGGGGGAGAGAAAGGAATAGCCACGAAAACGACCAGGACGAGCACCAAGCATCGGCTCCTGGAGACAGACACAAAGGGGCGAAAACCGCGAAACCAGAAGTTGGAGTTCGAGGAAATTGGCGTAATAACCTCGAACGTTCCATTGAAGAATGGACAACGACGAGAAGAGAAAGGACAAAAACAGAGAACAAGGAAGAAACAAAGGCGAAAGACCAACAGAGCACGTTAAAGAATATCAGGGTCGGGATCAGGGTCAGCAAAGTCAGGGTTAGGGGGCATGGGTAAACTGAGCAAAGACGGAGGGAAGGAAACGGGAGAACAGATCAGAGGTGGGCGGGCAGGGTCCGGAGGAGGAGGAGGAGGAGGAGGAGACAACGGAGAGGAGCAGTCAAGGACAGCAGCAGGAAGAGGGGGAGTAGAAAGAGAGGAGTGCACCCCAGCAAGAGCAGCAACCGAAAGGGAAGCAGGGGCCAAAGAAACCTCCATAGCAGGAACAGGGGGCGCAAGCACTGAAACGGGAGTGGAAGGAGCAACAGAGCCAGAAGGAGGAGCTGAGGAAGAAAGCGAAGCCTTCTTACCCGCCGGGGAAGAGGAAGGAGAGGAGCCAGGCTTACGCTTCTGACTTAAAGAGACCGGTGTCCCAGCAACTACGTACCGGGCAACGGATTCCAGTGTCTCAACAGGAGAAGCCGAACGAGAGCACACACGACGGCCGTTAGGAGAGCGATGGACATCCGCCCGCACCGACAGGCGGCGGGGAGAGCCGATAGATGGAGGAAGAGGATGGGAAGGAGGATCGGAGGGGGACGAGGAAGGAGACACAGAAGACACGACAGACCGGGTAGAAGGAAGGGGAACCCCAGACAGAGGACCAGGAGGAGGATCCTTCGGGAGAGAACCCAAAGGGACAGAGGAGGGGGCAGTGGGCGCATCAGGGTCCAAGGCCTGGAAACGGTTGTGAGTCTGAGGAAGGCGGGAAGGACGAGGAGAGGAAGAGCGCAACACGCGAGCATAAGAGATATTAGCATAAGGCGGGAGCCGGCGAACCTGGCGCCTCGCCTCAGGAAAAGATAAACGCTCCCGGTGCTTCAAGTTGAGGACGGCTGCCTCAAGCTTGTAATGGACACACGCACGGGAGAAGGTAGGATGGGCCTCACCGCAGTTGAGGCAACGAGCCTGGGGAGAAGCGCACTCCGACTTAGAGTGACCTTCGCCACCACACAAAGGACAGAGAGAGACAGTCCCGGAGCAGCGGAGGGCACCATGCCCAAACCTCCAGCACTTGTTGCAGAGCCGAGGAGAAGGAATGTACTCCTGGACAGAGCACCTGGCACCAGCAAGAATGACAGAGGGTGGAAGGGTCCTACCATCAAAGGTAATCTTCACAACCCGGAGGGGTTGACGGCGACTACCACGAGGGGGACGAGTAAACGTGTCCACCTGGAGAATAGAATGGCCCTGGGCAGCGAGGATATGTCGAATATCGTCGTGGCAGTCGCGTAGGTCCCGAACACCGGTCGCAACATGGGGCGGGAGCAAAATAGTGCCAACACTGGCATTCAACTGGACGTTCTTCGAGACCCGAACGGGGGTCTCGCCAAGGCAGGATAAGGCAGCCAAGCGGGAAGCAGCATCCTGAGAAGGAGCAGCAACGACACGCGTACCGAGACGAGTGGGGTTAAAAGTAATGGAGGCATCCACGGAATCAATGAGATGTCGATGAAGGGAGAAATCGTCAGGAGGCGCAGAATCAAGAGGGAGGAGATCAAAATATTTGGCCCACGAAGCGGGACCAAACAAGGCTTGATAGGTAGCAGAACTGGAAGGAATCGAGCGAGGGCGGCCGTGACGAGAACGGCGGTGAGAACCCCCAGAGAGAGAGGGGTTAAAAGGCGCAGTAGTAACAACTAGAGAAGGAGCCGCGCCAGGGGACGAGGTAGTCACCACTGGGGGCTTGGGGCTCGACCCAACCACAGAGGAGGGAGGGGAGCCAGGGGAAGGAGTCAGAGAGGCCAAAGGAGGAGCAAGGTCGGGGCCCAATGCAGCGGAGGCTACAGAGCCCGGTCTTCCAATACGGACCGACTCGGGGGCTTGGTCGCCCACCCCACGAGCCTGAAAAGGTAAGCCAGAAACAGCCGAAACAGGGGTTATCATCTTGACGAAATTACGAATTCACTCACGAATGTGCCCCCACACCCACCATGGAGCCACAATTAGAGGCAGGACACCCAACAAGAAGCTATCGCCGATCTTGTCGGGGCCTCCTAGGGGTGCGTCGTGAGTATACGCCCCACAAACGCCACCTTAAGAAACCGACAGTCCGTCGAGATCGGGTTCAGTGACGAAGTGGGGATTGACAATAAAAGGTTCCCCTCGCTCTCGACGTCGGGTACCGCAGTTCTACGGGTGCAAGAGTATGCCTCCTCAAGCACCCGGGCGTCAAAGTAGAAGAAGTCCAAGGGAAGAACCAGAACGAGCAAAAGGTCGGCAGGAAACGGCAAGCAGATAGGAGAAGAGGGGGGAGAAAAACGAAACAGAAGGAAAAGGAAAAGATGCCCAGCAGAATTGGAGAGGACGGCAGCAGGAGCACAAGGCTAGAAAAGGACAGAGGACTGTCCCAAGGAGCATCACACTCCGGCAGCCGCCCACTAAGCCCCCAGACGGCGACAACGAGCTGAGCGGGGAGGGGGGTTAACAATAGAAGTGGAATTGCTCAATTGTTCCAAACATATGCCAAACACACAAGTTGAAGTGGACACAAGTCACCTCTTATGTGCCAAATCTTAAAATGACACCATTCACAGAAAATCTCAAGTTTGACTAACAATCTTGACAAGTCATAGTATGTGCTAACCTAATTGGCTAAACAATGACAGTCTAGCTCTTGACTGTCCTGCCTAGCCTTGTTATACCTGCTGCATTTTTACTTTAAATTGTCTTAATTTAAGACAATTTAAATTAAGTTTAAATTTTGTTCTGTTCAAAAGCTTTCTCGTAACAGGTCCTAAAGTTGTGGATGGAGGTACCATTAAGTGTGTTGACTCCTGCAATAGGTATTTATTTTGGCAGTCTCTCTCCTCCCCATTTTTGTTCTTGCTGTGATTTTCATATTCCACTTAATGTTCTTTTTGTACTTAAAAGTTTACCTGTAGTTGATTATGAGTTCTATTCTCCAAGCTGTGATGACTAAAAGGCTGATGCTTGGAGTGGTCCACAAGGCCTACACACATCCATTACAACCCGGTTAGTCCGGCATTTCCTCCAGAAACATGTCCACTTCTTGATTTTTTTTATCCTACTCTTCTCAATTCATGGTCTATCCTTGTCACATCACCTACTTGCATCAGAAATGTCAATGTAGTGATCATATCCCCCCCCCCCCCATGTTCCTTCTCTCAGGTGTTATGATATTTAGTTTTTTTAACATCTCCTTACTGCTTAATTAATAGGATTAAGCCATGTAATTATGAACAGCACAGTAAGTAATCAAAGAAGGCACCAAGCCGTGAAGGCTACGTAGCACCATCAAATGTACCGAATAATCAGAGGTTGCCAAATATCACTGAGGATGCCAATAAGAGAACAAACGCATATGGCAAACGATATCAAACCTATCCGATTCACCAATAATTCCATCGAGGAAAAAGTGACTGCGGGGGGACAGTCGGAAAGCAAGACACACGCTAGTCCCGGAAGTCAGGACATTCAACAAGGATATGCACAACTGTAAGAAGGACAATGCAGTTAGGACAATAAGGAGCAGGGCGACGCTCCATTAAGTGTCCGTGAGTTCAGCGCATATGGCCAGAGAGGGTAGCACGGAGGGTGAATAGGTCACTATCAAAAAGAGAAAGGACAGCAACAGAGAACAATGAAGAAACAAAGGTAAAGACCAACACAGCATATTAAATAAGCTCAAGAACAGGAAAATCAGGGTTAGGGTTATCTTCTTGAGATTATCTTGAGATGATTTCGGGGCTTTTTAGTGTCCCCGCGGCCCGGTCCTCGACCAGGCCTCCACCCCCAGGAAGCAGCCCGTGACAGCTGACTAACACCCAGGTACCTATTTACTGCTAGGTAACAGGGGCATTCAGGGTGAAAGAAACTTTGCCCATTTGTTTCTGCCTCGTGGGGAAGACAACCGAGAGGGGCTGTCAAGGACAGCAGAAGGGGTGGAAGGTGCAGCAACTAAATTTCGATGAGTGTGTGGTTCGAGTTGTGAAAACTGCTTTGTATGACCATTAATGCTAAACAGACTGACATTAAACTAGTGAAAAAGTAACCAATTACCTGGAGCGTGACCTGGATCTTGATCTTGACTTGGACCTCTCTGAGCCTGACCTTGATCTTGAGCGAGAGCCAGACTTTGAACGTGACTTGGACTTTGAGCGGCGTTTCTTGCTGTGGCCACCACTCCTAGAATGGATCAAAAGTTAGCTTTCTACATAAATTAAGAAACAATTTACTTAAAAAAGCTCTTATTTTTTAATGACAAAGGGCAAGATCAATGATTCTAGCACAAATCTTCTATTTTTCTTCACTTGAGAAGGAAGTTGAAAAATTCCCTCCAGTTATTATTTTATTTAACCCAACGTTAAAAGGTGAACTTCATTAATTCTTGTTAACAGTATCAAAGATATTTTGAATGGTTAAATGGTGGTGGTAGTTTCAGATTCAGTTACTCTGAACAAAATTTCCATGTAACATGGCTATAGTGAGACGTATGATTACATGGTGCTGGTGTTATAGACTCGGCTACTGGTAACAAAAAGTTTCAAGTAGCACGGGCTATGGTGCTACTTGGACTTACCTGGCACATGAGCGGGGCTGTAACTATATGGTGATTGATTGAGAGAGATTAAGCCACCCAAGAGGTGGCACGGGCACGAATAGCCCGTAAGTGGTACATTTTTTTTTCAGTAATTCTTTTCAGTATTCTGAGGTGGCATATAATCAAGCTGTTATCGAGGGGAAGGATACTGCTTCACAATCTTTATGAGGGTGTCCAGCTGCTGGACACCTTTGTTGACCAGGAGAGTGGCTGTGTTGATGGCTTCAGGGTGGCCACTGCAAGATTCAGGAACTCTCTTAAAGTTCTGCTAAGGTCGTTGGTTGCTTCACATTCCAGAAGATAGTGAAGTAATGGCTTTTCTGTGACAGTTTGGCAGAAGATGCACTCTCTGTTGGGGTTCACCAATCTCCCAGTTGCATCTGTAACCTAGACGTAATCTATATAACCTAACTGCTATTTCCCTGTGGATTCCTGTTGGGATATTTATCCTTTCTAATTTGGTTGCCTGAAGATACCATGTTGCAGAGGGCGAACCTTCAGCTATTCTCTGGTGCAGGTAGGCTTTGTTGAGATGTGAGAGTTTTTTGGTGATGATGTTTTTTATGTTCTCTAGGCTGGGTTGAATTGTTTTATGCATCACTGGATGACGAGTTGCCAATTTAGCAATTTCATCAGCTTTCTCATTTAATGGGATTCCAACATGGGATGGGATCCAGTTTAAGGTTATGTCGAGTCCTTTGCCTTTAGCGAATGCTCCAAGATACAAAATGGTGGTACAGTAATTATTTCCACGTTATCTTTCCACCGTTTTTGTCCTAGTATTTGAAGTGCAGCTTTTGAGTGTGTGTATGATTGCATTTTGAGTGTTTTGTGCAATCACATATGCGAATGCCTGTTGTATGGCAAACAGCTCAGTTTGGGTTGACAATACTAGTCCTCCCAGTCTCCAATATGCCTGTACGCTGGCCGTGCAAAGAGCAGCGCCAGCACACTCATATTCTGTGTCCACCGATCCGTCTGTGAAGATGTGGGTGGCTCCTGCTACTGCTATGCTATACATTTGCTCTTCTATTATGCGCCTTAGGTTTGTCGGATCATAGGCAGCCTTTTTCCATTGGGAGACTTTCTATTACTATTTTGAAAGTAGGCTCTTCCCACGGCGCAGGAGGAGTGTAATTTGGGTGTAGATGATCACCCTCTCTTATCAAGTCATGCTTTTTAAATGTAGTCTGTTTAGGACTTTTCCTGCTCTTGCAGCCCAAGAGTTTCCATTGTTTTGGCCTAGTCCAACCACCAATGCCTGCCGTACTGGGATTGGATCAGAAGAAATAATTATCTTACTGATAATTGTAGCTGTCCTTTGTGATATTCTCTCTTGTAAAGAGGGCAAACTATATGGTGTTATTGCTGTTGGATATAAAGCCAGGAATGAGGTGAAGGTGATGAGGCCCCTCACCTATGGGCCAATATGACTACAACTTTTATATCTTTGCTTCCCAAATGACCAAAATTCAGTCACTTAAGTTTTCAGATTGTAATCCATTACGATGATTTGCATTTTTAACACTATTAAAAATACAAAAAATACAACTACAAACCTTGAACGAGAGCGGCTGTGAGAACGGGAGTGGGAGCGCGACCTGCTGACAAAAAATCAATATAGTGTACATTACTATTACTATGCAATACAGTAAAACTAAAAATATTCTCAATAAAATTTAAGGGGGCGTCTGGTTGGCATCTGGGTCTAAAAATGAAAACTCGTTCGATTTCAATCAAACTTTTTTGACAAGTTCTGTATGAAAAGTGTTTCATCTGGTCCAAGTTTCAGCATCGTAGCATAAATAGGAAGGGAGAAAAAAAATGTTGAAGTAGTTGTGAAAATTATGCAAAAATGGTCAAAATCGATTATCAATCAAAAGTGTCAACTGAAATCATAACTACGACTCTTTGCTATCACAATAGCATATATTAAACAAATATTATAATTAGTTTAATTGGAAAAAAATGTTAAGAAAAAAAAAAGTTTTTTTTTCTTTTCTTTTTTTATATTTTTTTTTTCTTATTTTTTTTGGGCGATTTGCATCAAACTTACACACCTGACTGTACGTAAGCCTATCTGTAAGGATGCCAATTTTGGAGAAAATTGGTTGATGTCAACCTCAGCCACTGATTTTAGAACCTTAGACTTTATTAATTTGTTTTTTTTTCAATTGACACAAACGTTTACAAAACTGATTCCTTTTTTATTCAATTTACATGAAACTTACACAGTATATGTGGAGGGCATGTCTCTACATTGGGGGCCTTTCATTTTTCTCTAAGTTCATTTATTGATTTTATAATAGCAATAAACATGCCATATTTGCAAAAAAAATTTGGGGAACTTTGAACATTTGTATTAGTAAAACTAAAGATGTTTTGGAAATTCTAAATCCCCAAATCCTTTATTATATGCTAATGTGTCAGAAAAGTGTCACAGAATAATTATATCTGAAACGTGTGTTCTGAAGTGTGGACTTGAAAATGTGTAAAAAACGTTGAGAAAAAAAAAAAAAATCCCTTTCTATTTATGCTGCAGTACTGAAACTTGGGACAATTTAAACACTTTTCATATACAACTAGAAAATTAATATTGGTTGACATTGAACAACTTTCATTATAATAACCAGGTGCCCCCTTAAACAGTATCCACAAACAAAAGGATGCAATTACTGTAGACACTCGATTATCCGGGATTCGAACATCCAGAAAACGCCCTTATACGGCCAAAATTGTGACTGGATAAAGTTCTCAATATCCAGCCAAAACGTCCATGGGAGCCGGATAAAAACTGGTTTAGCCAGATAAAAAATCGGAGCCAGTTTGCCTAGCGGCAGCATCCGAACGCTCATTTAAGGACACTAATATGGCTGGGAACCCAGCAAAACTCAACTGTCTTAAATCTACTGGAGATAATAAACAGCTAATGTTGAATTTCGACTACCACAGGATGGACTGGATTAAAGGACTCCAGAGCCAAGATGGCACTGCGATAGTCAACTACAACAATAAAGGAGAATTGACTGAGAAAGCAGTTGACGAAGAGCGTAGAGAATAGCATAAAGTTGTCGTAAAGATGCTAGCCTCTGGAGGCAGGCGACATAGGTGAAGTCGGGAAACAATGGAGTAGCCTACACCATCAGACTTAGACCAATCTTTAAAGACGAAGATGGAGTGTACGTGTAGTGTAAGATGGAGCAGGAGTGCGAAGAAAAGTGAGCATGGAAAAGGCATCTCAGAATTGTAGGAGGGGAAGTAAAGCCTTATTCATGCAGGTCAAGGTTCTACAAAACTTAGGAAGAGGGACCCTCCATGGAGGGGGGGGGGGGCACGCTCAAAATGACACGAGGAGAAACATTGGCAACGTGAACCAAGGAGAGAACCTTGCTAACGAGACAACTGTAGAGAAAGGAGAAGGCAGTAAAAGGGAACAGGAGGGGTAATGGTCAAAGTACGACAAACGAGAGAGGGGGTCTTGAAGGGCCCGTGCAAAGTAGTGAAAACAGCAGCGATCAAGGCAATCCTGTAGACAGGATGCTGGTCTTATCATTCAGGCTCTGGATAGAGGTTGAACGAAAGGCACCAGTTCCAAGAGGGAGCCCAGAATGGTGAAGAGCATCAAGATGAAGGGCGGAGGGAGTGGCAGACAAGTAAGCAGGACAGCAATAATCAAGGTTAGACAGCACAAGAGAGGAATGTAAAGAGGGGAGCGTGCATCTATCAGCTCCCCAGGTAGTATGGGACAAGGCCTTAAGTTAAGGGCCTTAGAGCATTCAACTATGAGGTAGGATATATTGAGGATCAGAAGGTAGGACCAAGACAAGCGAGTGTCAAAGATTAACCCCAGAGGTTTAGCAGAAGCCTTATACAAAAGAGGTTGAAGAGGATTACCAGAAAGCGACAGACCGAAGGATGACCTGCTTCCGAGTAAAGGTCATGGCACAAGTTTTAGCCAGAGAAAACTTGAAGCCATGATTGGTGGCCCAGGACGACATGGCATCAATCGCAAGTTGAAGCTGCCATTGGAGGAAAGGCGAGTCATCACCTTGAGAGCAGAAGGTAAGATTGTCAGCATAAAGAGCAGAGAAAATGTCAGAGGGAAGGGAGGAAAGAAGATCATTAAGGGCAACCAGGAAAATTAGTGCTCAGAACACTACCTAGGGGCACACCTTCATATGGCCAAAAAGAGGCAGAGAAAGCGGAACCAAGCCACACTCCAAAAGATTGATGAGAGGAAGCTCTGGGGAAAGAGAGGGAGATTGCCACGAAGGTAAAAAAAATGGGGCTGGGACAATATAATATCACCAGGTGGTGTCAAACGCCTTTTCCGGGTCAAAAAATATAGCAACAGCGGAGGTCTTCACAGCAAAGGCAGTACGAATATAGACCTCAAAGTTCAAGAGGACATTGGCCATGCTGCGACACTTGCAAAAGCCCGAAGGAGAAAGCAGATGATAGCGTTCCAAGAACCACATCAAACTGACATTGACCATACACTCAAGAGTTTGCAGACGCAGCTAGTGAGAGCAATGGGGTGGAAGTCTTTAGGGGACGACTCTCGAGAATCAGGTTTCCGAATAGGAAGAACAACCTCATCATTAGTCCCCGAGGACTGGTTTGAGGACTCCAAGACACTATTATAAACACACTGTAAATACTGAAAAGTGCATGAAGCATTTCGATGAGTATCATCCGAGTCCGCCGCTGTAGAACGGCTGAGAGCCAGGGCAGACTAGTTCTGAAGGATTGTTATAGGGAAGCTGAGGAAAACTGCAAAAATCTATGGGAGAAGATTCAAGAAAGGTCTAACGAGTGAGGAAAGGAGGAAGATGAGAGCTGGAGCTAACAGTCGAAAAGTGAGAATCCTGTTTGGTCGCGACCGACACCGGATCCGCCACGATAGAACCACGGTGGTGGTTCTATCATGGAACGTGGAGACATCTGGAACAAACTTACCTTAAGGTAAGTTTGCTATCTTAAGGATCTTCTAGATCTGGGGCAGAGGAGTGTCAGATGTAATTGTGTAAACTAAAGATCTCCAACCTTCACATTTTGCTGTACAGATGGCCCACCATACTTGCCCTCCGAAACAAAAAAGAAACAGCGTCTTATGGAGGCGGTGTTTCTTCCCGTCGTAAGTAGGAAGTTGAGGAATACATCGACGCCTTCTTACCCGTCGGGAAGGAGAGGAGCCAGGCTTATGTTTCTGACGTAGAGAGACAGGCATAACATGAGCAATATACTGGGAGACTGCCTGAACAGTTTTTTCAGCACCGCTCCTGTGCCTGGTAAGTCCACTACGGGCTCACCATAGCCCGTGCTACTTGCCCCGCTCCTGTGCCAGGTAAGTTATGGGCTCACCATAGGCCATGCTACATGGAACTTGTTCCGAGTAACTGAATATATAACAACAACATCGACAGTTTCAACATGAGGAGAATGGGCAACATAACGAATGCTGGAAGAAGGATGGACAATGGCTTTAACAGACAGGTGGCAAGGAGGACCAAGAGACAGAGTGGGGCAAGAAGGGAAGGTGGTCACAGGAGACGAAGAAGACTGGGAAGGAAGGACGGAAACACCAGACGGAGAACCAGAAGGACCCTCTGGCCCAGAATGCAAAGGAGCAGACAAGGTGGGTGGTGGTGGTGTTTGGGTCCAAGGCCTCGAAACGTTGCGAAACTGAGAAAGCAAGGGCGGGCGAGAAGGGGAACGCAACACAGAAGCATAAGACATATCAGAGAAAGAGGAGAGATGGCGAGTGTATATAGTAGGCCGTAGGCCACACAAGAATACTGTACTGGACGCAGTGACCACGAGGTCTACATTGCATGCTTGATCCTCGTTATCTACTCCCGTGTCCGGGCTGATCTAGGAAGGATTCATCTTTTCAGCTAAGCCACAAAGTTCTCACTATTAACCCATAACAGTAGCCTACTAATTCATTTAAATAACTATTTCAACTTTCTAGTTTAGCATCATTAGTCTATCCCCGCAAATTTGTGCAAGTGGTAAAACCCGACAACGCCAAAAACTCACACAGTCCACTCTTTAAATCCAATTAATATTGAATAGCAATCTAAAGAAATATGGTTGGGAAATTCCCACACTCTACTGTCATTCTCGGGCATTTGTAAACCAATCACCCAGCCAGTGACCATGCTTGGGATCACTTACAAAATACATTCACAAAAACTATGCAGGAGCTAGATGATCTTAGCAATAAACACACATTACAAGTAGTAACCTTGCGTATTATCAGAAGACAAATTACTGACAGGGGGAAACAGGGAATGAGGAGCGCAGGTAAAAACTCTATACAAAGCAGCACTACCGACACTTATCCTGAATTACCAATTGAAGCACATTGTATTTGATGTTACCAGTTCAAGCTCTCATGGTTTCACATCAAATGGGTTGATGTGAAATGGTTGATGGGTTGATTGATCTTAGTTAACCTTTTTCCCCAAGAATATATATTTTTGTTCTACTTGGCATTATAATTGCATATAATATTCAGAAATATCCCCTAAAATAATAAGAGGACCTGCTATAAGTCTATTGGAGAGAAAAAAAAAGGGGGAGGGATTTTTATTAAATTGAGTACATACCTGGAACGAGTACGTGATCGTGAACGAGATCTCGATCGTGAGGATGATCTTGACCTGGATCTACGTGATCGTCTAGAACTCCTCGATTTCGATTCATCTACAAGATGAATACGTCTTCCATGTAGTTCCTTGCCATCTAATCTGTGAAGGGCATTCTTCATGTCTGCATAGGTAGCAAATTCCACCACACTGTAAAAATATATATACACTATAAGGAAAATTGTCATTCATTTTTTCCCTTAATAATTATTAAAGAAAAAATGCAAGCCCTTTAACCACTGAACTGCACCAACCAAGTATTCTCGGTCGGTAGGAAACTAAGCCAACCGAGAAAACTCGGTTTTTTTCGTACCCATTCTAAATGTGTGCACGGTTGATTATGTACGAAATGGACTCTTAGGACCTCCAGTGAGAGGCAACCATCTTGGAAAATATTCCCAAAATGTCCTAGGGCTGCTGGCTGGGTTAGTACTGAGTGAGCAACCATGGGTGGTGCATGCACCTCTGGCTCCCAAACACCTGTCTGACGTGGTGTTGAAAGATGGCACGCTGTCGGTGAAATTCAAACCTTATTGTTTGAAGAACATAAGGGTCATAATATTGGTGAAGCTAGATGCAATAAGAACCTACACAAAGGTTGGATGCAAGTGATACAGCACCTATGAGGACAATACAGCGAGCGTATCCAGTTGTAGCTCTGAGCGCTACCCGTGCCCACCTATGCTATCTCCAATTTATATAGATGTCCATAGATGAATCGTTTTCTGCGTTCAGTGATGATGCATCTGATACAAGTAGCATAGATGAACAGTGTTAGCGGCTTCCATGGTGGTGTTTTCCACATATATTTTCAAGAAAAGCTGAATTCTTCTTGACTGATGGACACTTATCGAGGCTGGCTGAATCTCTTCCTGTGTGGGACCTTACAAACTGATCTTTCCCTATAATCTTTTCAAGGTTACCTTACGCCTATTTATTGCCTGTCCCTACCACCTCATCACAATCTACTTGAGAATGGTCCAGGACGGACCGAAACGTCGTCGTCCCTTCAATTTCTAGTGTGTGGTCTGGTCAAAATACGCTTTACAAGCTTGGCTACATACCACCTACAGGTACTAAAGCCATGGGTGTATGCGAGTGCCTTATTTGCAAGCACACAATGAAGAAAAGCGAAAATCTATCTGTACTGGGTGCAACGAGAACGAAATCACGCTGTGTACTATGGACTACAGTACTTCGTTGATTATTACTCACTTCCAAAGTACTGTGTAATACAGTGTGTTACTGTGTGAAACTGTACATATTGTAATTTTAGTGAATTTTTAACAAGTAATATTGTGACAAACATTTATTGTGGACACATTACTGACATGTATCACTGTTCCATGGAACATTATGAACGTTCTTTATTGCAGGACTTTACATTTTTCTTTAATATGTAGTGACTATAGGGAAGGTTTCAGGATAGGACAAGGTGAAACCAAAGTTGTAGATTTATGCAACAAATTTCCAGGTAACAAAATAAACATTGGGATCCCTCGATTAAGTGCATCTTGGACATGTACACAAGCGAGTTTGGGTGGATCTAAACAGAACTGCCTTATATAGGCCAAGGCTTTCTGCAGTTCTATTTAGGGTCACCCCATCCCTCTTAACATCTTGAGGTTATCTGAAGATGATTTCAAGGCTTAGCGTCCTCATGGCCTGGTCACAAACTATTTGTAACTTTGCCATGCCTCAACACACTGGCAGTCCAACCTCTCCACATATTCCCGACTATAAACGTCCTGAATTTCCCAGGCCATTCACCTATGCATAAAATGCTTGCAACTATTTTGCATCTTCAAAATCATCTGTTGGGCTATACCTATAAATTTGGTACAAAGATATTGCAAAGGAGTTATCTAGAGAAGACAAAAGTAATTATTACTTAAGATTATGTATAACAGTAATGAATATAGAAATGTCTATGAATAGCAATCTGATTGTATCACCATCAGAAGAAAAAGTAATAAAAAGTCACAATCCCCCCCTTGTAACCCCTACAATAATTATTTTGTCCTGATATTTTGTTTGATCAAGTCTCCCCAAAATACCTCAACCTCTGAGATGATGGTAAGTTATTAGTACATTTCCTTGCACCTAACACTTGTGCCTATGATAAACAAATAGGTAAACACCACTATACATCCAGATCATTGCCAGGAGTATATAAAGTAAAATTATGCTCAATCAACAGCACAAATAGACAAATTTCAAAATCTTTAACATGTTTGGTAAAAATTATGTTTATAATTAAATAAAAAAATTTATCACTTTTCGTTCAAGATTAATGATTTAGAGGTGCAAACCAAAATTTCACACATTTCAAATATCAAGACTACAACTTGGGATCGATTTAGAGCCGATCTTTTAGAGCCGATTAATAAAATTTACATTTTATATGTTATAAAAACAAGTCTCTTGCATATCCATGTACAGCAATTAGCCGTAGCATATAATCAGATTATGACAAATCCAGAACACATTTCACACAAGTGGGTTGCATTATTTGTTCAAACCACATTGATATGCAGTTAATCTACCTGCTTAGGTAGTACTTATAATAACAATGAGGACCATCTTACATACAATGACACAAAAGGCAATTAGAAAGTAGAAATCAGTACCACTGAATTGGACAAACCGGAAATGTTTTTGTACTTATGTTTAAATTAAAACGCAATCTAACCTAATCTTCCTAAGCCTAACACAATCCAAGGCCTAATATAGTACAAGTGTTATACTAGGCCTAGGAATATTGAAGTTTGGTTTAGCTATATTTTAGCTATTCAGCTCTTATTGTGAATAATACCAAAATTCTACCACAATTGTCCATTATATGGACAATTTAAATTGTGCATGATGGTCACAGTAACAAAAGTACTATCTAAACAGAAGGATGGGTTGTGTTATGACATTCTATAATTTCTTAAGGATATTCCAGAGCAATTTCTAAGCCTCTTAACTAACCTGGGACCAGATTCACAAAGCAGGTATGCTAGCTCTTGCGAACCTGTAAATCTTTTCTCAATCGTTGGCGGCATTATTGACAATTATTAAACAGTTAAAAAGTTCTGAAGCACCATGAGGCTGTTAATAACAATAACAGTTGATTGGAAAGGTTTCATGCTTGGAAACTATTTAATAAACGTAACCAAAGCCGCCAAAGATTGAGGAAAGATTACGTGTAAGTACTTGAGTAACTGCTTTGTGAATCTGGCCCCTGTTCTGTTACTAAGCAGTGGCAGTGTGCATGTTAAAAGCATGCAATTGTGTACTTCAACTGATTTAATACATGCAAAAAACCACCTAGAACCAATAGACTACGAATTTATGAGGATATTATTTAGTCAAATGAATCTTACATTATAAAAAGTTCTTGGATATAATGTATTAATATAGTTTATACATAGTTAGGACTAGGTAAGGCAGTTTTGTTACAATAATTTTGAGTTTAAAATGCAGATTGAAAGTGAACAATGAAGGTTTTTGAGTAATTTTTGAGTGTCGAGGCAAGTTTGGCTTTTCCCAATACACTGTAAACCTGACAGCCCTTTGTTTTAATGACTCAATATACCTGCCTCTCACAATGTGCTGCAGTTTAAATGCTATAGAACACAGCAACCAAATTCTGGTGCTTTTTGGAAATGAAATTCACTAAAACATTGATGTTTCCTCTAATGAACGTGAGTTAGTTGTTTAGTTGGCAAGATTCCCACGCTTCTGGTTAAACAAAAGCGATTCAAATATGATGTTTATAAAATACAAGTGAGCTAGTCTTATCTCTATACTTCAACTATGGTTAAAAGTTATCACAATGGTTCGTATTATGATGTCCAAAGTAATTCTGGATGTAAAATTTCTTTTAAATCTATATTTGATTTAAATCAAATTTCTATACTGTAAATCTATATTTCTTATTCTGGACAAGTATGAGCTACGTCAATTAAGTTGAAGCCCATTCACACGACTCCTTGCCTTATGAACAGCAAGAAGCATGTTGAAAACATACTAAATCACACAAAACTAATTCCAAGATACTGTACTTATCAATTAACACTAATATGCAACTCAAATTAAAGCATGGTTAGTTACTAAATTGAAACTGTTTACGTTACCATTCGTAAAGAAAACTGCAATTCTTATTCAGTAAAGTAGATCCAATGCCAAAGTACTTATCAAAATGAGCAAGAATGCTACTCATTTCTTCAACAAATTTATTATGCATCCAACATTAAGCCTTTGACTGCTGAATTAAATTATTCTTTACACTAATCAATTAAATAGATCATATCATTCTCTCCGTATATACTACTGAGGTTAAACTACTATTATGTTTAGAACTATGGTCATCTCCCTGAGCAATGTGCAGAGTACACACACACACACACACACACACACACACACACACACACACACACACACACACACACACAAAGTGGGGAGGAGGGGCCTTTGGGCATTGTTAATAAAAAGGGTTAAAGCAATAACCACCAAATTATGAAATTGCTCGTAATACTGTATATTGCTAATTTTGTTTAATACTTTACACAAAGAAAGCATGATTAAACAAAATATTTAAATTACAAAACATACTTTAGTCATAGCTATAAACAAAAATACTTACCCTTCATTTCTTCGGTATTTGTGTGCATCTGCGTACGTGACCTCACCAGCTTGGCGCATAAAATCTTTGAGATCCTGCAGAAAAAGGCAAAGAATTACACTTCCAAGGTTCAAAACAATTGGTACACAGAAGCACAAAACATTTAGTGGCTCCCTCTAAAAATCATCTCCCTGACCATGGACATATCCTCCAAGGAAGCCTAGAAGGGTAATGGCAGGAAGAATACATCCTCGGGATGTGTTTTCAGGGCATGATCGTTACCTTCATACCCCAGCTCTCCTTAAAGGCAAATTGCATTATTGTTGATAAACTATCTCTGCCCATAAGAACAAATTTATATTAAACTAAGATTTTTATAACATCACATGATTCCATGACAAGACAATTTGGCAGAAAATTATGAAGAAATGCATTGACAAAAGACAAAGAAGAAACTATGAAATACGCGTATCAGGCATTTATTGTTATACCTTAATTATAAATATGGGCTTCATATATCTCCTATACCTCTAAGCCAAATAGTGTTGACCCCACTGAGCATTTCAGCCTTGACCTCAGCGGGCCCCTGCAGCGTGTTAAACCGGCCAGCCACTCAGGACAAGATGACCGAAAGCCTGGGACGGAAGCCCCACTTCATGACACGCCTAGCACGGACCCTGCAAGTGGTCTGAGGGAGGGGGAGGGAAGGCTGGGCAGCAGATGTCTCCGCTCCAGCCCAACGAGGTGTCCTCACACCCACGATACGTTGCAGGGAAAATGTGTCCCACGTCCTCGTTCCCAACTTTCGTCCGTACGTTCCACCTGGGTCCTAGGCAGACCCAGTCCAGATGGTACCCTCGCCTCGCAAGACGAAACCCCACGTCTCGCCAGAACGACCGGCCCATTACGACGCTCCTTCGTCCTTGCTTGCGCGACCTTGCGCGTCCCTTCTCCTCTCCCATGCCTCAAGCTATTTCTCCTGCCCTCTCTTACGGTGTCTTCAAAAAGACATCGGCAGAATGTTAGGGTCTGTTTTAACAATGAAATAGCAACTCCGCTACTTGCTACACTCTCAAGAACCTTGAAGACAGTAGGAAATCCCTTTTATTTGGTTCTATGCTATTTCCAAGGCATATGAAATTTGTCCCTAGCCCTCAAAATAAAATACTGTACCTATTCCCAATAATAATTTATAGTTCAACTATTTGTTCCATCCCAATACTTACCCTTCTTTAAAAATGCTTTAAAGAATTCTTTTTTTTTTAACTAATTGTACTTAGTCTGAGCAATTTTGTTTAGCTATCTGATACTCCCAAATATATTACCTAATATCACACAAGATTATGTCTTGTTCTCTACAAAGATCTTTATAGAAAAAGAGTATCAGCAATGCAGAAAATAAGTCGCAAAAACATGGCTGAGAATTAGTAATTCAACCCCTCTACACATGAAAAAAGAAGGATAGCGACTACTAACAAGGGGCCATTTCTAAACGACACAATAATGCTTTCCTTTCTTTTCGTGTGGAGGTTGGGTTACTAAGTTACATGTCCAAGTTATTTTTAATACATCTGCATCAAAATAAACTAAATTCTGTAAGACCTCCCCACTATGCTAAATATCTGCCTTGAGAAAAAGTACCACCTAAGATGGAATATGAACCAATATGATAAAATATGACCCATTATGAGCAAATCCTGACAGTCCCTCCCACTATCGGTAATCAGCTGATCTACCAAACATCAATAATATACATCCTTGTATATAACCTGGTACTTTACACACCACCATTAATAAAAAAAGGTTAGTGTTCAGAGCGAGGAACGAGGTCAGTTTTGAATATATCACAACTTAATCTATAAAAACAAATGCAAAAAAGAATATTAAAACTTTTGAATAAAAAACAAAACATATGCCAATAGTTTAAAATTTGTATTTCATGAATTCCAATAAACATTAAACATTAAAACATGAATTAAGAATAAATCTTACCTGCCAGGACACTCTACTAGAGAGGTTCTCAACAGTTAGACGGTAATCTGTTCGGGCAGCCATGCCAAATCGACTGATAGAGAGAATAAATGGGATATCAATTACATAAGAATTAAGGATACGAGTACATTTATTATGTTCAATGTATTAGTCAACGATTAGTTACCAATCTTGATGCACCATAACAAATTACATTAAAACACATCTCAACCCTTAAATGGCTGTCCTACATTGCATTGTAGCATGGCAAAACATAGTTCACACACAAAATTAGCAGTTAGAGCCATTTAAGGGTTAACAATTATGAATTTGAAGAAATTTGAGTTCATATTTAAGACAATTCTACATATAAAATAAAGATAAATAAAAACTAACATGATAATGTTTACCACATGGAACAAATCTACCCTACTCCATGCAAAGTCTTTTATTCCCATTTATATTGAGAAAACAGATTCCAATTATTAAATGATAACACAAACCACATCTTCCCTTTACTCGTTATATCTCTAGTGGACAACGATGGCTTGTTTCAATTGCAAGCCTATTCTACGTAGAAAATAAGTCACAAAAATGTGAGAGAGAAACCAAACCACACAATATCAAGTAAAGTGAATATAATAGTTCATCCTGGACCCTTAAGTCATGACAACACTCTTTGACAAGGGTCCAGGACTAACCGAATCTTCAATCTTTTTATATTCGAGTTGGGTTATTAATCTATTGAGCCTTTCTGCCATAAAAGGGTCTTCAGTCTGTACCATATACATAAAATGTTCCTTTATTCAATTTTGGAAAAGATTTACCTGGAATGAAATCCTCTTGGTGGTGGTGCCCGAGGCCAGCGCATCCGTGGAGCAGCACGTGCCTTCTCCACTGTTACTCTGTAATAAATCAGAAAATATCACGTTGTACTGTCAGAAACGAAACCAAATAATATGGTATTTCTAAGATTTATTGAATTTTTGACTACGAAAAAAGTGTAGGCATTACAGAACTGATGAACATGTAGTAGCAAAAGGATTAATACCATGATTCTAAAGATGCAAATGTTTCAGCACTGGAGATCTGAAGTGTGACAAATTAATAAATCCCAAAAACTTAGAGAGACCTAACTGACAAACTACTGTATTACAAAAGATAACAGACTTGATTGAGACAAAGCCAGATTATTGGTGCAGTGAAACTAATATCTGAAGATTGCAAAACTTACCAGACAAAAATTTAAGAACTAGTATATTTGTGAATCTAATCCTAGAAGCATTTATGTACAGTATCGGTACATTTAACAGGCCATGAGAGAATGAGAAAGGGGGTGATGGGTAGATAGCCACATCATTGTTGGAACCAAGTCCCACCTCCCCAAAATGAGATTATTTTTTACCTATAGCACCAACTTCCATTAAATCCTATTTACTGACCAGAAATTGCAGAAAGCAGGATATTCCCTTTAAATTTGAGTTTCCTGGATGTTATACAGAATTAAGCAAGAAACACCAATTGGTAGGATTTGTTTAGAATATGCAAATGAGAATGCAAAATTATATTTATAATCGAGGAATGCAAAATTTTTTAAACCAAAACAAAGGATTGAAAACCAAGATGGGTTCTAATTAAAAATGATTACCCATATACTGTACTGTAAATACTAAGCTCATGTTGAACACTACACCACACACCAGAAAATGAGACATTTAACTCATGTTGTCCAATACCATTCAAATTTAAGCCTACTTGAATAATTATTCATAAGGGTATAGCACCACCTTAACTTATCAGACATAACATAAGTACCTTCCACCAAGAAGCTCTTTTCCATTCATCTCGTAGACAGCATCATCTGCATCACGGTCATCGTCAAATTCCTTTAGAAAAAATACAAAAAACATCCAGAAGCTGAGAGCAAATAGCTTACAGATTTATCAGGTCTAATTACTAGAAACAATTCCAAATAATTTGGCTCTTAGCTTTTTAATTGGGATTAATACCGTTAGTTATTTCATCACAAAAGCATCTGAAAATCAACAAGCTAAAAAATTTTTTTTTACTAAATGCAATCCAAATGTATATAAATAAAACATTTTAAACATTCAATATCCAGTTAATATGTATAACATTGACCTCTAATTATCACACTATACTCTTAACCAAAGAAATATTTACTCAGCAGAGCACCTTTTAATAGTGATGGGATGACATTCTAATACCAATGCCAATTCCACTAATAAAAGTGATACAATTATCAATTCAGACTCCAATTTTAACAAATTTGTTTATTTTTCTGAAAAATTTCACACTTTAGTTTGGAAAAATTAATGATTTAATTTACTTTTAACGATCAATGAGCATGGTAAATGTATTAATATAATTGATTTAAGCATAGAAAACAACTGATAAATTAGTTGACCAAACCACACACTAGAAAGAAGGGACGTAATGGGACGGACCGAAACGTCGTCGTCGCCCCTTCACTTTCTAGTGTGGTTTGGTAAACATATTTCAGCCATGTTATTGTGACTTCTCGTTTGCAACTGGTAAATTAAGTGTAAATTGGTAAATTCAATGTTGAATTAGCTGTACTACTGGTCCTGCAATCACTAGTAAAAGATAAATGTACCACTTAATTTTCTTCTGTATCTTGTGTCTAACGCTCATATATATATATATCCTGCACTATATATTCTTTTAAATATTTTCTCGAAAGAATTCAATAATTTAGGCAGTTATAGTTCACGAGTATTATAAACCCAATATCTTTAACAGAGAAAGTTTGAAGTACACTGCCATCATTTTTCCAATATATTTATGAATTTTGTGCTGTGGTCATTTATATTCCCACCCAATTTTACGTTTATGAAGTCAGCTGCTAGGTCGTAAAATGAAACTTTAGCTTACAGTGTAACGCTTGATAGTTTGAATTATTACCGAAAACAAGTTTTTTTATTAAATGTTAGAATCTTTTCAAGACAAATCATTGATTTATCTCAATTCAGATACCAATTCCTGTTCTGAAAATATTCAATTCTTGATACCAATTCCCATTAATCATTCTAGCATTACCTTTTTTTAAACCACACTAGCCAATCAAGGAATTTTCCTGACCCGTATAATAATTATATTTCCTCTGGCTGGAAGAATGGAGATGCACAGTCTCGGAAAAGCACACGCAATGCATTGGAGGGGATTTCTGGATCCCCTCCAAAAAGTTTTCATGTTCTTTTCTACAACCCCCCCATTGCCCTTGTTTGTATTTTTGCTATGCTTTATTATCTACAGTATTTAAAGATTATAAATTTAAAGATTTATAAATATATATTTAAAGATTATAAAGCTGGTGAATTATATTTTATCTTTATAGTTTATTATTATTATAAGCATTGGTAACAACGTGAATATGGGATATTCTTAAAACTATCTATTCATTTTAAATGTCAAATGGTACCAATGACATTCCTCATTGGTATAATGACTACACATTGTTCAACCAATATTATATAATTCTATAATTACTGTACATTATTCTTTATGTCTCAGCATGATCAAGAATCTTTATACTACAGTATCTGTAGAAATCTATGTAGCCCACTACTGTAAGTTTCAGTAAAATCATTTAGCCATCTGCCAGAAAATGGAGAATCTAGCAAGCATAGCTATCACTTTCCAAAAAGAACTCATTTACTGTACTGTTCATAAGCCAAATAAAAATGTGAACATTAATTATGAATGTACTGTAACAGTATTTATTTATGTACATTTGTAGTTTCACTTTATTACGAGTTCTTAAAACTAATATATTTGAATGCAGTAGAAAGAACTGTAGCACAATGCCCATAAGACACCTGTAATCTGATTTTCATGCAATAAAAAACAGTATAGGCCTATTTAGGCACAAGAAAATTGAAACTATATACTTACCACAAAACCAAAGCCATTCTTGATAACAATGTCCCTTAATCTGCCATATGATCTGAAGAATCTGTCAAGATCCCTCTCCCCAACACGGTAGCTGAGTCCACCAACATACACGCGAGTGCCTACCATGGCGTCCTGTAAGAATATTTTTTTTTTTAATAATTCAGCATTCAACAGGCAACACGAGCATTGAAAATAACATTCCAGAAAACATCTGGTATGTTATTTTCTAACATACCAGATGATCAGATCAAACGATCTGGTATAAACAATACCAGATTGTTTTTTTTTTTCAAAATTTGTTAGGGAAAAAGCATAGTACATTTGAAAAATCATAACAAGCCAACATATCTAGGAACACGAATAATGTTTTATCAAGTGCAAATGTCATGTACCAAGCACAGGATAGTGTAAAGAGTGTAAGGCAAATAATGAGAGGCTAACACAACTGACTCGAGTGAAACCTAGCTCTACGACCCACCTACGTACTATCTGTCTCATACCTGATACACTAAACTTCTCTTACACTCCAATTCTGTCATATCTGCTCTTGTGGATGGAGGTGGCTTCAACAACTTCCACTTTCAGTGCATTCAAATTGTCTGCCTGCCTGGACAGATTTCAAGTAGTTCTTAAATTTCTTTGACTCAATTTAATGCTGTATCAAGTTCCCTAAACCTGTCTGTATAGCAGTCCTTTTTTTATAATGATGCAACCTCTCCTCTTTACAAGTTTATCTTTAATGACAATGTATTGTTCTGCAACATCTGCACATTTCTGGTTCATTAATTTTGCCGCCTTTTTCTCTCTCATTGCACTGTTATGGAAGTCACAGTATTTAAATAGCCCGTCAGCGGGAGCATTTCCCTCCTCCAGGTTATATCCGACGGTCATTGGCTGCACCTTCTCCCTTGGCAACTCGCCTCCGGCATTAGAGACCAACAGTTCCAAACTTTCAACATCCTGCACTTCTCTGCTAGTTTTGGGGCCTGCATCTGCTTGCTGGTTTTAATTGGAGGTCATTTCTGTAACCCTTATGCTCACACATGGTGGACCCACCATAACTAGTATGGTACCATCACTACAGCACTTATCTAGGCCCTTATCGTCCTATAATCCCCACATCTTGTCACTAATCTTCCTCAACCTGTTTCTTGGTCTCTCGCTTCCTTCAGCTTCACACCTTAGCATAACATTAGTCATGGCTCCATCACTACTTTACATTCTTGAGTTGCCTTTACCTAGTCTACTGTCCATTGATTTATATCACTTATTAAAACTGTAATCCTTGGTGCTCGCTTTTTCCAATACCTGCAGCAGGGTCTCGATGCAATTGTTATATTCCTCCCTTGGACTTCTGGTATTTCAGGAGGATGTAAATTATTGAAACCACCACTTTCACATTCTCCACTATTGTTATTCCTAACATGATTTTGCTGTATGGATATCTTTGGTACTTCTATATGCTCTAAAGGGCATGGTTGTGTATTAGGATGACTACACCTCCACCCTTGATCACCCTCTCATTGCATGAAGTACTTTCTTCAGATATCTGCTTAATGGGGTTCTGGGAGTTGTTCTACTCCCCATGATTTGCGAGTTTGGTCCACTAGGCTGTTACTTGGAGCAGCCCGCAGGCCCACATATCCACCACAGCCTTCTTAATCCAGCACTCCTTAGAGAAAATTATCTGGTTTTCTCTTAAAGACGTTGAGATGTTGCTGGGAGGATATTGAACAACCGTGGACCTCTGATGTTTATACAGTGTTCAGAGATTATGTCTATGGCACCCCTGCCCTTCACTGGTTCTATTTTGCATTTTCTTCCATGTCATTCACTCTAGTAATGTTTTTATTTTACTGTGTAGATTTGGGACCTGGCCCTCCAGTATTCTCCACGTGTATATTGTTTGACATCTCTCTCTCATCCCTCTCTAGCGAGTACATTTGGAGAGGTTCGAGACGATCCCAATAATTTAGGTGCTTAATCGCGACTATGTGCCGTACAAGTTCTTTGTACTCCCTCCATTTCAGCAATCTCTCCTGCTTTGAAGGGGTCAAGCGAGTCCTGATGGGACAACATCCTTCAGAGAAAAGTACTGTGGTAGTGGTGGCCTCCGTGACTTCTGTCAGTACATTCCATCTTGTTACTCATATAGCCTAAAATTATTTCCTAATCAGTATGACGTTAATACAATTGTATTGTACAATTCTGTAAAATTTAAAGTTTCCTTGAAAAAGTGTTTACATATATACAAGCGGAAAATAGTAAACGACAGCTACAAAGTTTGTCAGAACAGGGAATATTTGTTTTGCCATTATCATAAAGGTATAGTAACAAGATTTCACACATATATATATTGAGAAAATATTGAAGCTGTAAGTGTGATCAAATCCATATCCCTGAGTTTGCATGCCTGACTGATGCCAGTTCAATATGGCTTCAATATTTTGTCATCACATTTTTATTTTATTCATTCATTCATATTTAAATACACTGATATAATACATTTCAACTTTCTAGTATCTTTTATGCAACATTTATTAAATATCCCAAAAGAAAATGTGTAATGTAAACTGTTTGCCGGGTCATTAAAAAAGGGTGTTGCATGTGAACACCTTTTTTTGGTCAATCTTGAAATTTTAAAAGGTATTTTTGTTATGGCAACTTTTTTTAATGCAATTTTTTTTACATACAGCTTAAATATTTTAAATGAGCAATTGTCTACGTGGGAAGCTTTGAAAATTTATAACCCCCCCCCCTCCTCTATACCCTAGGACTGATGCTAGTGCTTGTTTTTCAACAAAACTACACCCTTATTTACCTTATGAACACGGCTAAAAAAAATTTTTACGCTAATCAATGCTCTTCTTTTTACCCATAAAGTATTAAACTATTTCTGATGACAAATATCCCCCTCAAACCCTCCCAGTACAGTTCATCATTCTTCATTTTACTCTTCATAAATGTGTATTTCTTATTTATGCCATGTACCCCCTCCACCCCAACATAGGCAGGCTGGTAGTAGCTGCAGTATCCCAGGAAAAATATTAAATGCCTTCATGCCCCAGCCCCCCAGAGAAGTACAATAATCACAGAGCCCAGAGAATAAATTTATCAAATGCTGAAAAATAGATTTTATCCAAAAATTAAAAATAAAATAAAAATTAAAAAGATAAACTAGAAAATTAATAAAAGGGCAAAAACTAGAAAGTACCTAGAGATGCCAAAGAACCACCACCATATTCTTTTTTATAACCACTGAGGTCACCACGAGAAGGTAGAGCGAGACTGTGATACCTAATGTAACCCACAATATGGGTCATATTGGTACCCAAAGCTTCAACCAATTTCTTTAAAGTTTATTGACATATTGTACTATTTCTCTAATTCGACTAACGTTCACAGCAGCTTAAATTTTTTGTCCCTAGTACCTTTTTTGACATCGTAACCAAGTGTTGAAATGCGCGCCAAGCTCGTCTGACGCCTTATTTACCAGCTGTCTCGTCTGTCAAAGAAAGGGGCCATATTTTGAGGTAAAATACAAGTTATTAAATTTATTGATATCTACTAATTTAGATACCAAAAGTTTACGTAAATATCAATAAAACGTGAGAGGGCCTTTCCCAAGCAATGGAAAACACTAAGGTAATTAATTACAAAGTATACACATTCGAAGTCGGATATAAACTTCACGGTCAATTATGCTGATAAAAAAATAGGTAATTATTCTACTGAGAATGGAAACCTTCATTGGCTCCCCTTGAAATCTATGATGCAACAAGAGGTCAAACATTTTTCAGACAAATAATAGCAAGACATTTTCAACTCGAGAAGAATGGTTTCTGTAACAGGCCTACGCAAAGTCCTTGTCAGTTAAATAAATACCAGCACTGCACTGTGTAATCAACAAAATGGAATACAGGAAACAACCCCCCCCCCCCGTCCCCCGAGTTCTACAGTATATAAAACTAGCTGTCTACAGGATTTGTAATTATAAATGTTTCAATTTATTTTAGCATTCCATAGACTTCAAAGTTACAGGAAAGTAGTTCTCAATATAAAAATACACAGTGCATACACAAATTGACTCAAGCTATGATTATGTTCCAGAAGCATTGCCCTTACTTGTCAAGATGGGTTTCTTTCAGTCCTTAACAGACTAAATTTCAGTAATAAAGAATAATACAACACAAGACCATAAAAATCAATACATCAACCGAGGCTTAATTAAAAGTTTACAATATCAATATAATAGTTATATGAGTAAAAATGAGTTAACACTGAAATGAAATAATTTGTACAATATATTATATTTCTGCCCAGTGCTGTCAATGTCAAACGAAGAACTAACCATGCATGGTTAATTAGCAGGAGCACAGTAATCTACTACCCCTATCAAATCTGGGGTATGTATTACAAGATGGATATTTATTACATGTTAATGACAATATAGAAAACAAAATGAATCTCTCTAGATTCAGAGAAATACTCGCTAGAAAATAGGGTTGAAGATTTATGGAAGTAATAATTACAAAGATTAGTCATATAAATGAGTTTGGTTGACTATAACTAGTGCGCTCTCAGACTAGTATAGCTTCTATAGTTTCATACAGTCTTCTTAATACTGTATACTCTTGGGATTGGTTAAGACTTAACTGTGATATTACTTATTAGTCAGATATTACTGTGGTTTGCAAGCTATTTAAAAGATATGCCAGTCTTGCCTAGCCTCTACTTAACATACCGAAACCTAATCTAGCACAGCTTGTGCCGACAAGTCAATAATGGTCAAAAACCAAACCTCACATACAGTCAATACTCACAGTACAGGGTATTTACAAATTGTAAACGAGCCTTGTCTAAGCACCTGTGTACAATTTGTTCATATCCTCTAGGCTTGGTAAGAGATTCGGCCGCAGGGACCTTGACCCCTGAAACCACAGCAAGGTAAACCCTCCTAAATTTACATACCATTTCTAGTGACCTTGACTGGGACAATTAGTAACACCATGAACTTAATAAATGTATGCCAAGTTTGATTCCTGGGTGTGATGTTTGGCAACTTTCCTTATGGCTAATGCTTCTTTCCTATAGTACTGTAAATAGGAACCCGAGAGTTGGCAAACTCTTGCAGCATTTCAGTAAAGCTTTTAAAATTTATCATTGAGTTAGGTTGCTTTAAAGTTGCTCTAGGCATGTTCGGTGGAACTGTCCAACTGTCTATAACTGTTTGTAGCCCAACTGTCATGGCTACAAAGTAACATGTCATAGAGACTTTAAAACCTATCTAACCGAACCAAACAACTTAAGCCAAAACATCTTAATCTAACGATATATACAATTTTGACAATCTGAAAGCGAGCCTTGTCAAAATTTCTTGATATTTGATTGTATCTTTAATCCAACTTTACTTTTATCCAACACCACCACCAATAACATGGTAACTAGTTAGGTTGCTACATTAGCTCTTAAAATTTATATGGAAACTGAATAAAGTTTCTATAAAAAAATAATCAAGCATTCTGAAGTCAAATCATTTACACGACAATTCGACTACCAATTTTCAGATTGTCCCAAACTGTACATAGTTAGGTTTAGCAGAGTAAGGTTTTAAAACTCGTCTTGGGTACGATATGGCTTATCTTTCTGAAGCCATATGGAGGAAAGAATTTGGCTTCCATGTTCTCAAAATTTAAGAACTCACAATAATTTCGTGCAGTACCTTTTCGATCTTAAATCATAAATGCACCTTAAAATAAATAACCTTTAAAAACCCACGTGCAAAAAGAAAGCTTGTCATAAATGGCAGGCCTGGAGGAGACTGGAGGAAAGTCCTAAAAATTATTAACAAAATCAGAAATCAATCACATCTGCGGTCCTTTACCTCTGGAAACATCACTAGGAGCCACACAACACCTTCACTGTATACTAATCCAGTATACAAATCCCTGTAGTATGCCAGTTTATTGATTGTGTTTACCGATACGAACATTCAATATGGCGACTGGAGGAGGAGAAGGAAATACCAGCACAGGCCACGACTATATTGGCCGAGGGGGCGCTCTCCTGCCTCGCCTCCGTCGTCTCTCCTTCCTCCTCGCTCTCACGGGGTCGTCCACCCACTTAATAAACTACAATGGCTATCATACTTACTCGGAATTCACTTCATAAACGGGAGTTTGTATGGCGGTGTGGAGCTAGTACTCGTGCGGGCTGCGTGTCACTGTGGGACTGGGACGCTACTGCGCACCCTCCTCTTATGCTGTCTGCGCACCTCACGCCCCCACCTTCTTCACCCCCCCATTTGCGCATCTTCCCCTACCTGCTCACTCTCTTAAAGAAGCTTGGTATAGCATAATTGGTTACTGGATACTATTGATTATAGATGCAATAGACTCCTAAGCCTGTGAGTCTCGTCTCACAACATATTAACGCACACAGCCCCCCTCTTTTATGCGTAGCTAACCTCCAGTGCGCATCCACTCACATGCGCACTCTCTAAACAATGTATAAATCTTCTCAATTAGCATGTATAACTTTTAAATGACTACTCAATACTACATAGATTCAGTAGTTTCCTTAGCCTGCGCACCTTCCCCCCCCCCCTTATTGTCTGGGCATCCGTACACATGTGCACTCTCTTAATTTACTTGAAAAGTAAAGTCAACCATCTCTGCAGTGGTCTCGACGGGGACAGGAATTTGGCGGCTAAGAATATAAGAAAATTATATCATAAGAATTAAAGAAACTGCACAAGACCTATATTGGCTCACAAGAACATAGGAGCTTACGAATGAAGCTAATTGCAGAAGGCCTATTGGCCCAAACGAGGCAGTTCCTATTTATGTTCACCGAAACGGTAATGATGATAGAGTTACTAGATGCGACCTAGATGGTGTGGAGATTGCGAAAGCGATCTGGGAGTTATGATTAGTAAGATATTAAAATAAAAAAATCAAAGCATAAATGTTCGTAATAAAACAAATAAAACACGGGGATTTATTAATCGAAGCGTTATATGTAACAAAACTCCTGGTGTTGTTCTTCAGCTATATCTTGCTCTGGTTAGGACCCATTTAGATTATGCAGTTCAGTTTTGGTCGCCGTACTACAGAATGAATATAAGAACATAAGAACAAAGGTAACTGCAGAAGGCCTATTGGCCCATACAAGGCAGCTCCTATCTATAACCACCCAATCCCACACATATACATGTCCAACCCGCGCTTGAAACAATCGAGGGACCCCACATCCACCACGTTACGTGGCAATTGGTTCCACAAATCAACAACCCTCTTACTAAATCCAATTTATACCCATTGTTTCGTGTTCTGTCTTGTGTTGATATTTTAATACCCTATTAATATCCCCCCTGTTATGTCCATTCATCCACTTGTAAACCTCTATCATGTCACCCCTAACTCTTCGCCTTTCCAGGGAATGCAACTTAAGCTTTGTTAATCTTTCTTCATATGAAAGATTTCTAATTTGGGGAATTAACTTAGTCAACGTAGCACCCCCTACGTTGGACACGTTCAAGTGAATTTATATCCATTCTATAATACGGCGACCAAAACTGAACTGCATAATCTAAATGGGGCCTAACCAGAGTAAGATATAGCTTAAGAACCACACCAGGTGTCTTGTTACTAACGCTTCGATTAATAAATCCCAGTGTCCTATTCGCCTTATTACGAACATTCATGCATTGATCCTTTTGTTTTAAATTCTTACTAATCATAACTCCCAGATCCCTTTCGCAATCCGACTTCCCAATCTCAACACCATCTAGCTCGTATCTTGTAACTCTATCATCATTACCTAGCCCCAGAACTTTACATTTATAAGCATTAAACTGCATTTGCCAATCCTTTGACCATTTCAAAACCCTATCTAGATCAACTTGAAGTGATAGTGAGTCCTCCTCCGAATTAATTTCCCTACCGATTTTCGTATCATCGGCAAATTTGCAAATGTTGCTACTCAAACCTGAATCTAAATCATTTATATATATTATAAACAACAGAGGTCCCAGGACAAACCCCTGAGGTACTCCACTAACAACATTATCCCACTCTGACTTAACCCCATTTATACTAACTCTCTGTTTCCTTTGGAATAGCCATGCCCTAATCCAAGTTAATATAGCACCCCCAATACCATGAGCTTCTATTTTTTTAATTAGTCTTTCATGTGGCACTGTATCAAAAGCTTTGCTAAAGTCAAGGTACACAACATCACAATCCTTACCACTATGAACTGCCTCAACTATGCTGGAATAAAAAGTTAGCAAATTTTTTAAACATGAACAGCCATTTGTAAAACCATGTTATGACTCATTTATTAATTTATGTTTTTCAAGATGAAGACGAATTGTATTTGCAATTATTGATTCAAGTAACTTTCCCGCAATAGACGTTAGGCTAATTGGCCGATAGTTTGACGCAAGTGATCTATCTCCTTTCTTAAAAATTGGTACCACATTAGCTACCTTCCATGACTCTGGCACTCTGCCTGACTCTATTGATTTATTAAATATGGTAGACAGTGGCTCGGAAAGCTCCTCTTTGCATTCTTTAAGCACCCTGGCAAACACTTCATCCGGCCCTGGGGATTTGTTTGGTTTTAGTTTTTCTAATTGTTTAATTACATCCTCCCTGGTAACTGCTAAACTAGTCAACCTGTCCTCATCCCCACCCACATAGACTTGTTCGGCTGAAGGCATATTGTTAAGTTCTTCTTTAGTAAATACAGAGATAAAATATTTATTAAAAATACTACTCATCAGTTATCTGACCTGTCTCAGTTTTTAATGGACTAATCCTTTCCCTAATCTTTGTTCGTTATAAATGAAAAAAAAACTTTAGTATTTGTCTTTGCTTGCCCTGCTATGCGAACTTCAGTTTCTTTTTGCTTTCCTTATCTCTTTTTTAACATTTCTAACATTTGTTCGAATTATTGTTCTAAACTGACCTACCCATTCTTAATCCTTTAGTACCAAGCTCTCTTTCAACCTATAAGGTTCTTCAGATCTTTTTGTTATCCATATCGGGTCATTATTATTCGGTCTATTCAATTTGTATGGTATACTACGTTCCTGTGCTTTGCTTAGAATATTTTGAAGTAAGTTATAGTTTGAATCCACACCGAAATCCCTTTTTATATCACCCATCGCAGAGTTCACGTCTCGCTCCAACACTGTCCCGACTATTTGACCCCCCAAAAAATTCTTAGTCTTTTAAAATCAGGCATTTTAAAAGAATTTTCTCCTACAGATCTATTCCATTCTATGCTAAATCGTATTTCTTTGTGATCACTTTCCCTGGCTCACTCCATATTTTCGATGGCATTAATTTGTATTTCTCTGTTAGTTAACACTAAATCTAAGATATTATTTTCCCGTGTTGGTTCCTTAATGTGTTGTGTAAGAAAGCAATCGTCAATTAATTTTAGAAAATCTGCTTCATTCCCTGTTCTATTAAACCAGTTTATTCCACTAAAATTAAAGATAAGACCGTAAGAATAAAGGTAACTGCCGAAGGTTGACCTTTCCAAGGGCTAAGGTCAAAATTTAAAATATGCATATAATAAAAGTTAGAGCCACGAAATAGCTTTAAAATGGTATTTAAATGAATTATTTATGTGCCATAGGATGTCCTCTTGAACCGAACTCAATTACGGGCTCACTATAGACCGTGCTACATGCAAATTTTATTCAGAATAGCTGAATCTAAAAGAACGACGTCCTCTTGAAATAAATCAAGATCATGGAAAATCAACCCTTTTATTCAAGGTCGCGAATCTCTGGAACCCTCAGAGTTTTTTTTGGCTTGGTTCGATCTACAAAATTGAACCAAGATTTCGATCTACAAAATTAAATCGTAATTGGTTCAGCTACAAATTCCATTAAATTTCTCTTCGCCTACCCAACACAAATCCAACTTAGGGTACCACCGCGATTCCCTGTTTCACTAAATTTCTAAAGTTTCATAAATCCAAGTAACAAATAACATTCATGGTATAAACATAATAACATTAAAATATCATTTATAGTACACGACCATCATATCGTGCACTTTAGTCATAAGAGAAACTTTATGAGAAACAGTGTTTCCTTTTTTGTGTATTGATACAAAAGTCGAACATTTCAATGTTTATTATTTTAATCATTTAACATACATAAATAATTATGCACAATCATTTTCATTATTAATTCATATTAATCAATATTTGTCCAATTACAAATAAATATATGTAAAATACATATATCACTTCGCTCAACATAAGCAACATGGAGACAATTCATTTAATTATATTCATTTAATTGTCATCATATAATTTGATATGATTATATGACAGTATAATTGTCATCATATGACAATTACGTGGCCGGGAGGCTTGGGTTAGGAAGGGAGGAGCTTGGTAAATCCTCCGCGTGCTGCTCTGCTTGATTAACATTATTGGAGAGCAGCGATGACTTATGGGCGAGTATATGTTTCTCAAGGTTGCGTCTCTGGTCGTAAGAACAAGTGCACATGGAACACTTGTAAGTATGGTTACCACCATGGGCTGTCATGTGTCTTGTAAGATACCCTTTGTTTGAATATGCAATTCCACACAAGGCACATGACACAATATTATTGGAGGGGTTATGAGCACGTATATGATTGGCAAGATCGCCTCTCTGCGTGTAAGAACAATTGCACATGGAACACTTATGTTTTCGGTTAGCACCATGGGCTGTCAAGTGCGTCTTAAGATGTATGTGGCTTTGGTACGCAATGCCACACAAGGTACAGGTAACTTTCAAAGATGGCTTAAAGTGACCTTGACGCTTATTTTTCGACATCTGAGGAGCAAGTGAAGAGGCTGTTGGTACCGAAAGGCTGGGCTGAGGAGTAGAGATGCTTGGCAAGTTCTGTTGCTGTGCCAGTACTGTGCCTTCTCTTGTTGCTGTAATATTATTGGAGGGCATCGATGGCCCATGAACAAGTAGTTTGTGCTTGATCAAGCTGCTTTTTATGCCGAAAGCACAATCGCACATGGAACACATATATTTGTCATAAGCCCCGTGGGTTTTCATGTGGTTTGTAAGGTTTCCTTTGTTTTTATAAGTAATACCACACATGGCACAGGTTAATTGATTTTTTCCCCTAAAGTCAACTTTAGGGTGTGATAGTGAAGGGATGCTTGGCTGAGCCGAGGTGCTTGGCTGAGCCGAGGTGCTTGGCTGAGCCGAGGTGCTTGGCTGAGCCGAGGTGCTTGGCTGAGCCGAGGTGCTTGGCTGAGCCGAGGTGCTTGGTTGAGCCGAGGTGCTTGGTTGAGCCGAGGGGCTTGGCTGAGCCGAGGTGCTTGGCTGAGCCGAGGTGCTTGGCTGAGCCGAGGTGCTTGGCTGAGCCGAGGTGCTTGGGTGAGCCGAGGTGCTTGGTTGAGCCGAGGTGCTTGGTTGAGCCGAGGTGCTTGGCTGAGCCGAGGTGCTTGGCTGAGCCGAGGTGCTTGGCTGAGCCGAGGTGCTTGGCTGAGCCGAGGTGCTTGGCTGAGCCGAGGTGCTTGGCTCAGCCGAGGTGCTTGGTAAGTCTTGCTGTTGAGCCGGCATATTGTCGGAGGGTATCGTTGCCTTATGATCAAGTAAATGTTTATTAAGGTCGCGTGTTTGGCTGTACGAACAATCGCACATGGTACACATGAACTTTTTGTTTCGACCATGGTCTTTCATGTGATACGTGAGAAATCCTTGGTTTGAAAATGAAATATTGCACAAGTCACAGGTGACCTTGAAATACGGATTAATGTCACTTTTAAGTGGATCTTTCGACAACTGAAGAGGACTTGAACTGTCACTCGGACTTGAATTCTGTGAATTCAAGCTTGGCTCGGGAGTCTCGGGAGTCGCGGAGCTTGACAAGTCTTGTTCCTGCGCCATAATATTATTGGAGGGTCTCTCATTATGAGCGTTTATATGACGCTGAGGAGTAGAGCGTCTTGCTTGAAGAGTAGAGTTGCTTGGCAAGTTTTGTTGCTGTGCAAGTACTGTGCCTCCTCTTGTTGCTGTAATATTATTGGAGGGCATCGATGGCCCATGAACAAGTAGTTTGTGCTTGATCAAGCTGCTTTTTATGCCGAAAGCACAATCGCACATGGAACACATATATTTGTCATAAGCCCCGTGGGTTATCATGTGGTTTATAAGGTTTTCTTTGTTTTTATAAGTAATACCACACATGGCACAGGTTAATTGATTTTTTGTCTTCTTTCCCCTAAAGTCAACTTTAGGGTGTGATAGTGAAGGGATGCTTGGCTGAGCCGAGGTGCTTGGCTGAGCCGAGGTGCTTGGTTGAGCCGAGGTGCTTGGTTGAGCCGAGGTGCTTGGCTGAGCCGAGGTGCTTGGTTGAGCCGAGGTGCTTGGTTGAGCCGAGGTGCTTGGCTGAGCCGAGGTGCTTGGCTGAGCCGAGGTGCTTGGTTGAGCCGAGGTGCTTGGTAAGTCTTGCTGTTGAGCCGGAATATTGTCGGAGGGTATCGTTGCCTTATGATCAAGTAAATGTTTATTAAGGTCGCGTGTTTGGCTGTACGAACAGTCGCACATGGTACACATGAACTTTTTGTTTCGACCATGGTCTTTCATGTGATACGTGAGAAATCCTTGGTTTGAAAATGAAATATTGCACAAGTCACAGGTGACCTTGAAATACGGGTTAATGTCACTTTTAAGTGGATCTTTCGACAACTGAAGAGGACTTGAACTGTCACTCGGACTTGAATTCTGTGAATTCAAGCTTGGCTCGGGAGTCGCGGAGCTTGACAGGTCTTGTTGCTGCGCCATAATAATATTATTGGAGGGTCTCCCATTATGAGCGTTTATATGACGTTCCAGGTTTCCTGCCTGGGTGAAAGAACAGTCACTTGAATTCTGTGAATTCAAGCTTGGCTCGGGAGTTGGCTCGGGAGTCGCGGAGCTTGACAGGTCTTGTTGCTGCGCCATAATATTATTGCTCATACAAAACCTCTCAAAAAGAGAGGGTCTCTCAATATGAGCGTTTATATGACGTTCCAGGTTTCCTGCCTGGCTGAAAGAACAATGGCACACGGAACACACATGTTTTTTGTTGGCACCATGGGCGCTCATGTGATTGAAAAGATATCTTGGATGTGAATATGAGATATCACACAAAGAACAGGTGAAACCTGCCTTGATGGAAATTAAAGTATCTTTTGACAGCTGCGGAGTAACTAAAGTGTCACTTGTATTTACAGTGCTTCTTGCCTGAGGAATCTGACTTATCCTCACGCTTCTTGCCCGAGTAACATGACTTCTCCTCACGCTTCTTGCCCGAGGAACATGACTTCTCCTCGCGCTTCTTGCCCGCGCTTCTTGCCCGAGGAATCTGACTTCTCGCGCTTCTTGCCCGAGGAATCTGACTTCTTTTCACGCTTCTTGCCTGAGGACTCCTCTTCATTTGGTTCGATTGGCTGGAAGAAGCAATACCCTCGCCAGGTTCAGAAGCTTGGTCTTCAAACTTGTGAGGCTCAGGATGCTGACTTTGCAGGTCGACTGCTTGCTGCTGCTGACCTTGTAGTTCGACTGCTTGCTGCTGCTGACCTTGTAGTTCGACTGCTTGCTGCTGCTGACCTAGTAGTTCGACTGCTTGCTGCTGCTGACCTTGCAGGTCGACTGCTTGCTGTTGCTGACCTTGTAGGTCGACTGCTTGCTGTTGCTGACCTTGTAGGTCGACTGCTTGCTGTTGCTGACCTTGTAGGTCGACTGCTTGTTGCTGCTGACCTTGTAAGTCGACTGCTTGTTGCTGCTGACCTTGTAAGTCGACTGCTTGCTGTTGCTGACCTTGTAGGTCGACTGCTTGCTGCTGCTGACTTTGGTCCGGGTCCTCATTTGGGCTTGACTGGACATTTTGAAGTGTAATTGTTTGTTCTTTAATCTGTTTGCTATATTGGAACTCGGCTGGTTTGTCTTCAAACTTGTGAGGCTCAGGATGCTGACTTTGTTGGTCGACTGCTTGATGCTGTTGACGCCGTGGGGACTGAGCATCTTGGTGCCCACGTTGAACACAGGAGTCAGACACTGTAAGGGGCCCTTCCCCACGCAGAGTCAACGCTGGGAACGATGCTTGACTGCCGCTGGAGTCGACTGGGAAAACACCAGAAGCGTTGTTCGTCAGGCTGGCTTCACAGTTAACTTGAGATGTGGTCTCGCAGACAGTCGTCATATCTACAACAAGGAAAGACAAAGAAAATTATTTTTCGGTCATATGGTAAGAAATAATTGTGTATTTGTTCAATAGCAATATTGTGTATCAGAGTTCAATGCCTTAAAGTTCATGATTAACTCGCAAATATTATAGATTTTTAGTTTTTTGTTTACAAATGACAGGTACACAAACCTACGGCCTCATATATGCTAGTATAGGATGAGAGCAAATTTGTCAAACCTTAAAATATTGTGAATAACTCATTTTTGCCCAAGAACATAAAAGTACTACTTTTACTAATACTAAAGTACTACTAAAAGTTGAGATTACTTACCGTCAGTTCCGTTGCCAAAGCTGTCTCTTGATACATTCATCCCGAAGATATCAACGCTGCTACTCGAACCAGTTGATTGTGTATCGCCTTGGAAATTAACAGACATATCCATGTCTCCATGATTCACCGTATCGCCTTGGAAATTAACAGACATAGCCATGTCTCCGTGATTCACCGTATCGCCTTGGAACAAATTAACAAATTCCTCATTGGAGATATTTAACGAACGCTTCAATTCCTCATCTCTCAGGAGAGACTCGTAAAAACCAACAAAATCCGAAGCACTGATGGAGTTGATCTCGGTACTCAAGTCCTGATTTATGAAGTTGGTCTCGGTACTCGTGTCCTGATTTATGAAGTTGGACTCGGTACTCGTGTCCTGATTTATGTAGTTGGTCTCGGTACTCATAGAGGTACTCATGTCCTGATTCATTGTGATTATGCGATTCGAACTAGTTGATTGTGTATCGCCTTGGAAATTAACAGGCATAGCCATGTCTCCATAATTCACCGTATCGCCTTGAAAATTAACAGGCATAGCCATGTCTCCATGATTCACCGTATCCCCTTGGAAATTAACACACATAGCCATGTCTCCATAATTCACCGTATCGCCTTGGAAATTAACAGGCATAGCCATGTCTCCATAATTCACCGTATCGCCTTGGAAATTAACAGGCATAGCCATGTCTCCATAATTCACCGTATCGCCTTGAAAATTAACAGGCATAGCCATGTCTCCATAATTCACCGTATCGCCTTGGAAATTAACACACATAGCCATGTCTCCGTGATTCACCGGTTCGTCTTGGAACAAATTAGCATATTCCTCATTGGAGATATTTAACGAACGCTTCAATACCTCATCTGTCCGGAGAAACTCGTAAAAACCAACCAAATCCGAAGCACTGATGGAGTTGATCTCGGTACTCAGGTCCTGATCCATCGTAGTTAGTTCTGATGAGTTAGTTCAAGATGAGTTCTTTATATACTCTGATATCGCTGTTTAATTACAAGCTCTGATAGGAGAGCATGTGAACACATGTACCTCGGGAATGTGTGAACTGTGAGTTGAGACCGCTTATATTGCAATCATATGATGTGGAGGTCAGATGCAGGACCTGACAATGATTATTGATTGTTTCAATTTCAATGATAGAGGTTTATGCTTTAATCAATGATAGAGGTTTATGCTTTATTCAATGATAGAGGTTTATGCTTTAATCAATGATAGAGGTTTATGCTTTATTCAATGATAGAGGTTTATGCTTTAATCAATGATAGAGGTTTATGCTTTAATCAATAATAGAGGTTTATGCTTTAATCAATGATAGAGGTTTATGCTTCAATTTCAATGATAGAGGTTTATACTTCAATCAATGATAGAGGTTTATGCTTTAATCAATGATAGAGGTTTATGCTTTAATCAATGATAGAGGTTTATGCTTTAATCAATGATAGAGGTTTATGCTTCAATTTCAATGATAGAGGTTTATACTTCAATCAATGATAGAGGTTTATGCTTCAATCAATGATAGAGGTTTACAAGTGGATGAATGGACATAACAAAGGGGATATTAACAGGGCACTAAAAATATCAACACGAAACACTGTTTATAAATTGAATAAATTTAAATTTAGGAAGACTTGGGTTAATACTGGTTTGGTAACAGGGGCCAATTACCGCGTAACGTGGTAGAGTTGATTGTTTCAAACGTGGGTTGTATATGTTTTCTGAGTGGGATTGGGTGGTTATAAATAGGATCTGCCTCGTATGGGCCAATAGGCCTTCTGCAGTTACCTTTATTCTTATGTTCATATGATTTTTCACCCTCAGGGGTTATAAACCCATGGAACTTAAGAACTTAAAAATAAAGCACATAAGAACAAAGGTAACTGCAGAAGGCCTATTAGCCCATACGAAGCAGCTCCTATCTATAACCACCCAATCCCACTCATATACATGTCCAACCCACGCTTGAAACAATCGAGGGACCCCACCACCACCACGTTACACGGTAATTGGTTCCACAAATCAACAACCCTGTTACTGAACCAGTATTTACCCAAGTCTTTCCTAAATCTAAAGGTAACTACAGAAGGCCTATTGGCCCATACGAAGCAGCTCCTATTTATAACCACCCAATTCCACTCATATACATGTCCAACCCAAATTTGAAACAATCAACATAAGAACAAAGGCATCTGCAGAAGGCCTATTGGCCCATACGAGGCAGCTCCTATCTATAACCACACAATCCCACTTATAAACATGTCCAACCCACGCTTGAAACAATCGAGGGACCCCACCTCCACCACGTTACGCGGTAATTGGTTCCGCAAATCAACAACCCTGTTCCTGAACCAGTATTTACCCAAGACTTTCCTAAATCTAAACTTATCCAATTTATACCCATTGTTTCGTGTTCTGTCTTGTGTTGATACTTTTAATACCCTATTAATATCCCCAAAGTTATGTCCATTCATCCTATTAAGAACATACGAGGCAGCTCCTATGCTAGAAGGCCATTGGCCTTCCCACTCATATACTTGTCCAACCCGTGCTTGAAACAATCGAGGGACCCCACCTCCACAATGTTACGCGGCAATTGGTTCCACAAATCAACAACCCTGTTACTGAACCAGTATTTACCCAAGTCTTTCCTAAATCTAAACTTATCCAATTTATACCCATTGTTTCGTGTTCTGTCCTGTGTTGATACTTTTAATACCCTATTAATATCCCCCCGGTTATGTCCATTCATCCACTTGTAAACCTCTATCATGTCACCCCTAACTCTTCGCCTTTCCAGTGAATGCAACTTAAGCTTTGTTAATCTTTCTTCATATGAAAGATTTCTAATTTGGGGAATTAACTTAGTCATCCTACGTTGGACACGTTCAAGTGAATTTATATCCATTCTATAATACGGCGACCAAAACTAAACTGCATAATCTAAATGGGGCCTAACCAGAGCAAGATATAGCTTAAGAACCACACCAGGTGTCTTGTTACTAACGCTTCGATTAATGAATCCCAGTGTCCTATTTGCCTTATTTCGAACATTCATTTGGGTGGGTGCTGGTTCGGTGGCAAGGTTGTTGATTTGTGGAACCAATTACCGCGTAACGTGGTAGAGGTGGGGTCCCTCGATTGTATCAAGCGAGGGTTGGACTCTGTGGGTCCACGTATGAGTGGGATTGGGTGGTTATAGATAAGAGCTGCCTCGTATGGGCCAATAGGCCTTCTGCAGTTGCCTTTGTTCTTATGTTTTTATGTTCTTAACATAAGAACAAGGTAACTGCAGAAGGCCTATTGGCCCATACGAGGCAGCTCCTATCTATAACCACCCAATCCCACTCATAAACATGTCCAACCCACGCTTGAAACAATCGAGGGACCTCATCTCCACCACATTGGTTGAATTGTGGAACCAATTACCGCGTAACGTGGTGGTGGTGGGGTCCCTCGATTGTTTCAAGCGTGGGTTGGACATGTATATGAGTGGGTTTGGGTGGTTATAGATAGGAGCTGTCTCGTATGGGCCAATAGGCCTTCTGCAGTTACCTTTGTTCTTATGTTCTTAT